ATTAAGCAGAAGTCCAAGATTTTTCCTGATTTCCACTGAAAAGTAACCAAAACCTAAGACAAAATCATACAGTCTGAAAATTTCACAGCTCCCTAGCAGGCAAACAGAGCCCCCTTAACCCCCCTTCCCAGCAAAATAACACAAACAATGGCAAGTAAATAACCAGAAAAAAAGCTGCTTTCTGTGTTTCTTTTCCCTTCCATCATCATTTCCCCTCACCCTTTGCAGCAGGAGCACGGAGTGACTGCCCCAGCCTCACAAACATCACCTCATCTCATCTCATGGAGCAGCTTTGGTACCCCCGAACCTACTCCTCCAGGAGGAAACTGAACCAGAAGGTACACCCAGGCTATGACCATCAGCCTGTGGTACCATGCAGAACACGATGTCAGAGCAATGTCCCATGGACCTGCATCCCCAGCAGGGATCTCACCGAGGGTGGCAGGCCCCGGTGCAGCCATCCTGCCTTCACAGCAGGCACAAATGAGGGTGTGTGCAGGGGTTTTACCCCCTGGAGCAGTATTTGGCATCAGGGCTGAGGGGCACGCACAGCATCACCTTCTACCAGAGCAGCTCCCCTGCTCCAGCCTCTTTCCTGGTGGAAACAACTCCCTCTGGGTGAAGCCAACATGAGTTTTTCAGCCCTTTATCCACCTCGGCAGCATCCCTCCGATGAGTGCAGACAATATTGTACCTTCTTTCTGACAGTGAGTGGTTCTTTTACAGGTGTCGCTCGTAGAAACACCATGTTCAGCCAGGAGAGAACGCAGCACGGCTGGAAGGCTGCAAGTCCCTGGATGTTTCATTTGGATTTCTGGGAACGATTTCCCTCAGGTTCAAACACATCCCGCAGGTTTTGTGTACCTGATGCATTCTTGCTTCTTCTTCGTTGGCTGAGCAAAAGCCCCAGTGTGGAGACTCCTCAGATACTGTCCTGAAAGCCCTCTTTAGTTATTAGTTCTGTCCAGCACTCCATTAACAAAACACCCAAACAAGCTCACAACCAATGTGGTTCTTTTAGTGCCATGCTTCAGCTTCCGTAGATCCTGTGAAAACTGAAAACCAAAGGAAGATCTGAAAGCATGGTTGAGGATTCCAAACTCTGCATCAAACCTTTCTGTCTTTATCCCTTTACACACAGTAGTGTCATTTTCGTAACTGAACGGGCAGAGCTAAGGCTGCCCGTTCAGTCTGATCCCCGTGTCCCCATCACCAAGGGCCATATCCCGTATTGTGACATTTATTTTTCATGTGGGCACATTTTAAGGCATTTTCCCCTCAATTCCTGGCGTTTTCGCCACGAGGTGGCAATGCAGCTACAGCCGGGGTTGGGCTTCCCCTCAACCCGAGTTCAGTCACCCACCGTTCCTTACTGCATCGTCAGGGTCACTCACCTGCTCTTCCTTTGTCTGCTTCTCTCTCTGGTTTTTAACCCCCTCCTCTGTCGCCATTAATCAGGAGCCGGGCGTGTTTTTGGCTCCAAGTTTTGGGTGAATTCAGCTGACTTCAGAGCACTGAGGGTTCTATCAGCAATCCGGGTCATGCACACCTGCGGTTTAAAGAGCCAGGTGAGCGCACGTGTGCCCATACGATGCATACGGATGAAGCTACACTGCCATCTGCCAGCGCTTGTGAACAAAAGCAGCCCTAAATAACACTGGTTCAGCTGAACCTCGCTTACACATCCCTGTCTCACGTCCAGCAGGAACCCATCCTGAATGTGGCCTGGGTCTGGTCCCAAAGCCCTTTTACATAGGGGTTTCTCCTTTTTCCTCTGTCTTCTCCTTAGTCTTAAGTACTCTTTCCCTGGGCCGTGGTACCACAGTGCAGCTCTTCAGGACAGATGTGCTATTGTATTTTCATCACTCATTCATTTCACTCATTGCTCCAAAAGCCAACAGTAACTAGCACTGACAGGTTTCCATCAATGTGGCAAACCCATGAGAGCGATTGCCAGCTGAAGTTAGAGGCCAAGTCTGGAGACTTTCAAGTTAGGTGATGCTACAAACCGATACCATGATTAACAGTGCAGAGAGCTCATATTTGTCTTGGAAATAACTTTAAACACCACCACAAAACACTGCAGCATCAATGGTTCACCTGAATTAGGCTGAGCTGTTGTTCATGTTAAATGGGAGCTGTTTTCATCATACATACATTCATGGTATGGAAAGGGAGGGCATTGCAGAAGTGTTCTGGGATGGAGGGCTGCAAGACGTGTAGCTCTGAAAAGCCTCTCTGTAAACCAGTAATTAAACTAAAACATTCCCAATGAGCAGTCTCCTGGAGCAGCCATTCCCCACCAGATCCCCATGGACAGGCCTCTCACTGCACTGCCTCCCTGAGTAGCATGGCCCAGCTCTATTCCAAACCAACAACCCACTTCAAGGAATGCTTGTAGGAAGTGCAGGGCCTCACAGGTTGCCCCAATGCTACAGCAGAGGTTGTGCTGCTTTCCCAGCCTTGCTTTTGCTAGCACAGTGTAAGCTGCTGAGAGCAGCACCTGGGAGACAATGACTTTATGAAGCCCAGGCACTGGTTGGCCAATGGCTCCAGCACAAGGCAGTGACTCGGCAGCCAGGCCCTGGCTGTGTTTGCCTTGCACTCTGCTTCCATAAGCATGGACTCTTCCCAAGTTCTGCCCGGAGACCTGGAGAATGGTTTCATTTCAGGAATTCCCACTGCCTTTCGATAAAATGGAAATTGGAGACCAAAGGAAGTCGGATGTGAACGCGCCTGCACTAAGCCCTGATGGTAACTCCATCCTCGATACCGTGAACAGTTCCGAGTCTTGACAAGGCAGTAATGAATACAGAAACTGAGGACTTCATGTAGGAAAAGGAGTTAGTCAGCCTTTATTTCATTTCTCCATAGCCCCAAACTTGACAGACGTAGAAAAATATCCTTGAGTCTAGTAGACAAATTTACCAATGCTCAATAGCCCTTTGCTCTGACCGTTTGGGCCATTCTAGATACATTTGTACAAGCAGTACTTCAACTTTTTTTTTTTGTTGTTGCTTTTCAATGAAAGGTTTTGCTAAACTATAACCAATAAACTACAGAGGAAAAAACCTGATCTACCGAAGCATGCATATAAAGGTATCTTCCAAACTTAACAAAAGGAATTAAGAAAGCAAAACAACCTTGAGACACATTTGGAGGAGAAAACGGTTTAGAACAATCTGAGGACAACGTAATTGACCACAGACGAGTCAAAGCAAATTCCATAAACTATCTGTGGATAAGTTAAGATCTCTATGGCACAACTCTTCACAAAAGAAAAAAATTAAGGCGAAGACCAACATTTCATATAAAAATAGCTGAGCAGGCTTCTAAAGAAGGAAATAAGCATTTCTCGTGATGACTCTGTTAATACAAGATTATAAATACCCTTCTATATACAGAACAAAAAAAATCAATACAAATGTATGGATATTTCACCAGGCATCCATCTTTCAAACAAGCCAAGATCGTAAGTCCTGGCCCATAGCGGAGGTACTTCAGTTTAAGAGCTGTAGTAGTTTCTTTGCTACACACACTGATACAAATCATAAAAATGCAATATAAATAGTGATTTCCACAGAGAAACTCAGTAATACACTCAGGTTACAAAGCTGAATGAATTGGCCCAGAAAGAAATTATAGGAGTTCTAAGATCATCAATCATCTGATGCTTGTAGGCAAAGGAAAACATCCGAGTTACACAGTAATAGTTAGACTTCCAGAGTATTTCAGATTGAAATCCAACTGATACCCTTAGTGAAACTAAACCCAAAACTATCATGGCAGAAGAGTCATTCTCTCTTCATAAATACAGCAGTTTATTTGCCAAGATCCCTCAGAAACACCATTATTACAGGCATTTTAATACATTTTCCAGCCTAGAAGTTACCAGTTTTTCAAGGAGTTCAACTATGAATGATGTCTGTATGGATGTATTTGACTCAGTTTTCAAACTATGTAATCAATATACAGAAAAACATGAAAATGAGAGCAAATAAAATATGTTTAGAATTCCATTAATATTTTACATGAAAATACCTTTGTAAGATGCTAATACAATGATCAAGTTCAGTATGTCTGGTAAATAAATATGCAGGCGTGTATTCACACACCCTCAGTAATTCCAGAAATCATCACAGATATAATAGAATCTCTGTTGGAGAACAGTTTTGTGGATTTGCCAATGACTTTTTGAACTGTATTTCACAGAATGTAAAGTAGAAGCTCTTGTCTTCCAAGGTGTAGGAATTTCTCAGTTTTTTTTTTTTTTTTTTGTCTAAAATGCCAGGATTTTAATTTCTGTTGGCCAAAATGCCTCCTCGTGTCTTGCTCCCTTCCCCATCCCCAGGCTGAAGAGGCTCATCCATTCTGTCAGCCTTCCCCCATGTGTTTCAGAGAGAGGGATGCGATGGGGAAATTAAAGGGACTCTTTTTAAGATGTAACTGGACTACAAAACACAGTCTGCATTTACATTGAAACCTTAGCTTGCTACTGATTCCTTTAGATTGGACACTTCCTTACAAGCAAACCAAAATTGTTTCTAGAAGGTCTTTATACATAGTTATGCAAGCAAAAGAAACAATAGCTGCAACAAAAATACATGGACATACAAACCATTGTGTCTCAGAAATGTAAAATCCCATTTCTTTTCATTACAGTGCTGACTCACTGACTGCTCTCGCTGATAAATTAATCTATGATGTACTGAGAAATGTTACAACGATCATTTAGTACCAGAATAATGGATAATATCCATCCCTTGCAGTAACTGCACAAAGAATAGCACAGCCAGCCCGTTTACTACATCACCCTTCAGCTTCAATAGGAATATTTACTACCATTAACATAAGCTCATCTTTTTTCCCCTAATACCACATCTTTATTATTTCTTTGTCCATAGATTGTGTTTAAGACAAATACATAAACACAGTACTAAAATAAAACCCAAAGTGAATGTCTCACACTCAACTAAAAAAACAAGCACAAAATTGAGGGATGTGTGTTTGGAAATAATTTATTGCCTATAAAATGTTAAAAAAATGCTTTAAGTTCACATTTTTTCTGTGGTTTTAAAGGTGGGGTCATGTTTCAGAGGTAGTGTGTGTAAAATGTAATACAGGATTTGAACAGAATTATTGACTTTGTTCAGTAATACAGTAAAATGCTCACCAGAATCAAAGCATTGACCTGATACCATTTTCCTTACAGAAACATTCTTAAGCATCTCTTTTATCTAAGAGGATTGCTCACTTGCTTAAAACAAGAACAACCATCACAAGCCCAAGTTTCTGCCCCATTTGTGTCTGTCATCTTCTGACTAAAATGTCAGTTGCTGCTTTCCAGGGATGAATAAATACTCTTTAGACAGAATAAAACCCTATTCTGCCATGGACCAAAAAAAAATAAGTAATTATTTCTTTGCTTATTGGAGGCTTTATTTGCTCCTAACTTTTAAGATTCCACATTTGACCAATGTGCTAAAATATTCACTGGGTAGAGAAATCGAAAACAATAAACCAGCCCCTGGTTTTTCTAATGACCAGCTGGAGTTTCCTCACTAACCTTGATCAGGTACCTCACAACCAAGCAACATCCTCAACCTTGTGACAGAGCCTGGGGCAGAAAAGGCAGAACCTCAAAATGCAAGTGAAAGGTTCCAGTCCTTCGAACACATCAAGCAGCCTCGTTGCTCCCCGGCTGACCTGAAGGACCTGGGCAGCGGGACTGGAGGTAGTAAATGAAGCTTTTGGTTGTAACATTACAAGTTACAAATTCTTCATGGTTCAGTTATTCTGTGCTATTCCGTTTATGCATATTATTGTCTTTCCTTATGCTATCGGTATCCTGAGACCAACAGTCAGCTACGACTAGAGTACCTAGGGAAAAGTTAGTGCTGTGCATCAGTTTCTTTTTAACTTTACTAATATGGTAGTGCAATAGAGATCCCAAATTAGATAGCTGATCGATTTTAAGCAGTAATTTCCATTTGACTTGTCCTATCATTTCAACTGTACAACCCCAACAGTAGATACAGCTGTCTCTGGTTGCTGAATGGACTCGATAAGTTGCTTCCCAGTTTAAGCAGATGGAGATATAATGGGTATGTTCCTTTTTTCACTCAGAGGACTGCAAAGCCCACGATCTGCTTGTCATTTTTCACTTTTTATTGCCTTTGCGAAAAAGAAATACTTGGAAAGATTAAAGTGCAGTGCTGCTTCAAGAACCAAGCACTCAAGAAAATTGACACTTGTACAGTACATCTGTTAGTGTACTTCTAAATCTGCCAAAAATTCACCTATTAGACTATTTACTATTACTCACTCCCATTAGACCTGCAGATTTGACAGAAGCATCACCTGCAGGGAAATGAAAGGAGGCATAGATTCAGGAAACAGCTTCCTAACTATAAGCAAGCTTGCTAGCATCAAAGACTTTCACTGCTCCCTAAGGCAAGCAAGCGCCCTGTCTCTGGTTTACAGTGTCTGTTCTGAGCTACCTTTTCCCACTTTGGGTTCTTCAGAAAGACATACTTCATCATTCATGTTCTGACAGATGTGTTAGGAATAAACAACACTGGGAAAGTCATCTTTCACAGACAAAGCAAATGACAGCCTTTGTGGAAAGATGATAAAAACATCAATACATGGCACTTGTGCTGTTGCAGGTACTGAATTACAGAGCCAGCCTCCTGAAATAGCAAGGGGGGCTTTATTTCTGTCATTGTAACACAATATGAGCTTTCTCTCTCATAGGAAGTCTATGTAAAGAATGAACTAGCACTTAATATGGTCTTCGTTAACATCCTATGAACAAAGGAAATAACCGTAAGTCAAACCCTGACAGGACACAGGCCCAGAGAGCCATCCCATTGCTTTCCATCATCTAAAGAACTTCCAAAATCACATCTGGAAAAGAACGTCCCAGTGACTGTGTATCAGAACACCGTCCCTCTCAGCAATGAGCTTGTCAGTATAATTACTAAGAGTTGGAAAGGAATATGCCCAATTCTCTCATACTGTTCAAAGGCTACACAGATCAGGATGCAACCTGCAAACTCAATTAGCACATTATGTTGCCTGTCAGGGAGACAACGAAACAAAAAAACCACCCCTAGATTACAAAGCACATGTGAAGTGCTAGTCTGAAGTGCAATAGATGGGTATGTATTTTGATAACTCTTAGGGAAGGTTAAGTGCTATGTTTCAGGACCTCATCAGCTGCTCTTCAGCCACTGTACTGCAGAGCAATTGTTGCTGCAATGATTTAAGATACCAGTAGTGGTAATATAGCATTCAAATATTTGTTTTATCTATTGCAGGAAATATACATGGATACTGAAAAACCCCACGGAACAGCTCTGCAGTATTATCCTACCTAGCATTTTGTTATACAGGCATATCATTTATGCTCTTCCTGAATATCTTGTAGTATCATTGAGTGTTTCAGCATTTGAAAGCATGATGACTCCGTTATGCTTTGTCTTGTCACCCTACCAGAGAAAAGGACCAGAGAACAACATGCCCCCAGGGCTGACGTGGGTGTTGAGTGCAGCTGGAGGTTCCACTCCACGTCCTTAAAGAGGATTCCTTGAGAAAAGGGACTTACATAAGTTCTGGAATCTAGCAGCAGTTCATTCAAAATTAATTCCTTCAATCTGTTTGGCATACGAAATAGAAGCAAGAAATAGCAAAATATGAATCATCAAGGAAAGCTTTTCTTGTATAAAGGTGGATGACTTAATTGACTACAAAATCAAGAACTCTTATTAACAGAATCCTGCTTTTTTCATGGGAATTTAAGTGGAAGAAGCAGGAAATGAGGGTCCAAACGGTGGCAAGTCACAGTACTTTTTTTTTAAACTCTAGCAGAGCTCACAGAAGACAAGAGGTTTCATTGTCTGTGGCACAAATTTCCTGTCTACAGAGAACAGCAACAGAAATCATTGTTAACCCAGTACAGAAACCCCTTTATGAATTATTTTTTTACAGAGTGAGCAGAATTCCAGTTGAGCTCTATGTTACATTTGAAAGACAGTCCTGTGATCTTTGCTTACAAACCTGAATTCATTTGAGGTTGGTGGTCATTTCAACAGGCATGTAAAACTGCCACTCATCCTCTGAGTAAGGCAATAAGGACGTGACTGCCAGCCAGGATGTCACATTTCAGCTCAGGCAGTGAAAGGATGAGTAACCTACCACTTAGCTCCTGGTTGCACAGAGCGCCTTCCATCTCTCCTGGGATTCTACTCTGAGATTAATGCCTAAACCCAAATATAGGCTCAACAGCTTGCTTTTGTGGGGTTACTCTGTAGAATAGGTGGCAAGAGGTCTTCTGGGAACTAACTGAATTGTATAGTAATCAGAACTATGGACCTGTTTTGTTTTTAAAATTGCTACTATTCTTTCTGCAGCTGGCATTTAACATTGCTAAAAGCTCCCCATCCCATGCCCAAGCGTAACAGAGATGGAGAAAACCCTGAAAGAACAGAGCTCAGTACTGACACCACAAAAGAAAAGCTGTAGAAGTGATCAGGGAGGAACAGATAAACTAAGAAAAACTGAAAACTCATGAATTAATCCAGGTATTAAAGGAAACAAAACCAGGTGTTATTTCCCCAGCACTCTGGATTTTCTGTGCTACACCTTGGCCTTCCCACTGAAATTAAGGGGACTGCTTATTGTATTGCATGAACAAGGAATCACAGAGCAAATTCTTATTTGGCATCAAACTGAAAGATCAGGCTTTTTACCAGACTGAAGATACCTGTTTCTAAAATGCTTGCTGAAGAATATTCAGATAAGAAGTTACAGAGCACAAATAACACGGGCATGCACCTACATGCCCTACTAAATTTATCTGAATGTGTCTGCACATCCATTTAATCAGATGATTAAAAGGATTAAATGTCAACAACAGCTGGGAAAGAAGAAATCCATTTCAGTGCTGCCTCAGGGTCACAGTTTAGAAGTGGCACCTGATAGTTGCCAAAAGCATTATCAGACCAGGTACTTCAAAACCAGGTCACAGTAAGCAGACCTGCAAAACTCCGTTCCAAACACTTGAATACTCTTCAGGATGCAATCCCAGCTGTGGATTTATGACAGTGCCTTGATAAAATGGATCAAAGGTTGGGGAAAAATATATAACCAATACTTAAAACAATGATCAGAACTTTAGCATTCAGACTTTGACAAACAAAACCTGTAACTACATTCATAAAACCCTAAACTGTAGTGTAAACATCTAATCCTGTTGCTACTGTGAGAGGATAAGAAAGTTGCATTCTGCAGCTATCAGGTTTCCCTTATCCACCTAATTTGTTGCAACACTTGTGACTGCTTCTGTAATAATTTATTGACAATAATTCAATTTTTTGTTAGCCTTTCCAAGTTTTTTTTCGGCTATTTTGGTCAGAAAATGGGAAGTTCAACAATCTGAAGTCACATAATGAAAACCACTTCAGTTTAATTTCAGATTTTCAAAAGGGTTCAAAGCACAAGTCACAAAAAGCCCGTTATTCTATTTGGATCCCCAATTTTTAGTCCACCTACCTGAGTAAAAATGGGGAAAAACCAATGAACAGGACTGGTGAGCGAGCAACTCTGAAAGAATTAGCTGTCTGTACCACAGGACAGTTGTTTTCCACTCTCAGATCCCTGCTCAAAAAGACTTTGCTACAGAGTAAGAGTTATTCTGGAAAGTCAGAAGTTACCCTAATCAAGGCCAAACTGCTAAAAGTGAAACCTTTCCTCACACAGTTTCCATTTACCAAAACCAACATTCAAAATCTCTTGACAGTGCAAACTGTAGCCATGATGTACTACAGTCATCCTTCAGGAAAGTCTACTTCACCTCGGGCTCTCTTTTTTGGACTGAAGAACACTGGATAGCAAAATGCTGTTCTCTTGAAACCTGCACATTCTGTGGGGTTTCTTTTCTGTCAGTTAAAAACCAACATAAATCACAAACTGTCTGAGGCATTTTTCTCCGATAAAGACGACAAGCTGAATGAGGTATCATCAGGCTCTGGGGATGCGTGATTGAAATCCATTTCTTCTAATTCAGGAGGTAAGTCTGAGAGCAGTGCCTGTAAGTAAAAACATATTGCAATACAGTATTAGGTAGAGGTTTTGTGTCAGCATTCAAATGTCTTAATATACAGTGAGAAAACTTTGTTGGGCTTTTCAGCCAGTGTTGGTATTGGATGGCTAAAACAAGAGGTCAATATTGATAAATACTGGAGGGAAAAACATTGTCCAAGATGATGCATCTTAAAGGCAAAGGCAAAAATGAAAGCACCGAAGTCTCTTCTTAAATAAAGCACAGAACATTACCCATACAAGACATGATTCAACCAACCATTAGAAGTGCTGTGTATTAGATGTGGTGCAGTGCAAGCAAAGAAGCCTGGCTCTTTTCCCTAAATCTCACATCTCAGCTCTCACAACAGACAAATCCCAGTCCCTCAGTGTACACTGGTTCACTGTCTGTCCCTTTGTATAAGTCACATATCCTTGTCTAGGTCACCACTTGTGTAGACTGCAAGATCTGTCTTTTGTTTTAAAGTTCAGCTTTTCTTTGTCTACAGGATGTTCAGCACAACGCTGCCCTCATCAGAATTTGAGCCTCTGGGCACTACAGAATAAAACTAAAGGAGTGACAGAACACAAAACAACAAACACCTTGCAGTATTAAAACCTACTTCAAGACTTACCTGCTGCTGTTCTTTATCATCTGATTTAATAGCAAGTATCAAACTCCGAGTAAACGTCTGTAATTCAAAATACTTCTGTTTGTGATTCTCCAACTGATTCTCAATGAATCTGACTTCTTCATTCTGTGGGGGACAATGACAAGTTCTGGAAATAATGGACTGCATCTTTGTAGTGACACCTAAACATACTTGTGTTAACACTGAATGGGTTTTAGTGAAAATGAGTAAAGTTGTGTTTATGATGATTTCTCCCCAAATCAATGTTAATTACATCCAAAACTTCTATAGGTACACAACTACAGAACAATGCATGTTCTGATGAGGACCAGCAGTGTCTCACTAAGCCTGCAAATGCATATGCCATTTCATCTTTCCTCATCCTCCCCAAGAGGTGTGACAGCCATGTTACACGCAGACAAAGCACTTCAGAATTATCATTAAAGCATTAATGACTTGGGCCAAAGTTTGACATGAAGCTGTTAAAGCAGCACTGCTTTTTATTTCATAAGGATGACCTCTAATTCCATTTTAAAACAGAGAAACAAAGTCCGGGCCTCTTCCTAGAAGTGATCTTGAAAGGGCAGGGTGACTGTGAGAAGACACAGCAAATAAATGCCATTTTCACAGCAGAAGGCTTGGCACAAAGACCACAGAAACAAACCTAAACGTTCCTCAAAGCTACCACAACTCAAAATACAGCATCCTCTAGTGCAGCTGAGTTTGACATGTATCAGCTCATCAACCTCCCCAAGATCTTTCGGTTACACAACAAATAGGAACTTACTCGTGGAACTGAGAATTAGCAGTAAGGTGCATGCTGTGGCTAAAAAGGCATTTTTCCAACCTTTGCATTTTTCCAACCTTTGCATGTTACTCGACTTGCAAATGACTTAATGTAAAAATAACAAAATGAATTATACCCTCAGATTTGGTAAATACTTTATTCCAAATACCTCTTCTCCTTCAAGCCTACCAAGTGATTGCTATGCAAGATCAAAACACCACATCTGTTGATCACTGCAGAGCTAAAATTAATTCCCTCTGGTTATTTACCTTTGCAAAGATCACATAACCTGAATAAACAGTTCACTTCTCAAGATCAAAGTCATTGTGCATCTCTGCGAAAGGTTTCTGATTAGTAGCACCAAATGTGCATCCTCCATTAGATCGTGTGAAGTGTTGCATTTACTCAGGGGTATCAGAGGCAAGAAAGAACCCACCCTTGCTTATGCAACCATATGATTAATTAGGTTGGCACGTTTGCATACAATAGTGTTGGTTTTGGTGGCAGCAAATAATTACAAAAGCAAATTTCAATAGTGGATTTGTAAACTGGCATTTTGTTTTAATGAAAAAATAGTATTTCTTTTCTTAAACACAGAACTATGCTCTGTTACTCATGCTTACATTTGATAGGCTGGCTGTAATTCAACTTTAGTTGACATGAAAAGGCGAGACCGTGTGATGAACTGCAAGGTTTGTTACAAGCCTTTAAAGAGAGTTGTTATTTTGTGAGGATTTTGCCCCAGAAAAGTCACATTTCTTCAGTCAACACATTGCTCACCATACTGTTTCAGGTTATAACAGCTCTAATGGGGCTACAATTATGAGGCTTTCAGAAGAAAAATCAGTTGAATGCATTTCTTTCTGATGGAAACTTCCAAGTTGCCTATTTAGCACTGGATTCTGCCCAGCCAGAGAAGGAATTCAGATTCACACAGAAAACACAGGCACAAAGACCAACCACTAATGTCAACAACAAACTGACAAACAAGGTTCTGTAGGGCATGCTGTCACAATGAGCCTTTCACAGTGGTGACAGGTGACATTAAGAAAAGGTCATTCCCTCTCCATATTCATTCTCCACTGCCCTTACCAGGAAAACACTGCTTGAAGGAGGAACTTTTGTTCTGAAAAGATGATCTACTTATTACTTTGGAATTGATTATTACTAGTAGAATATGCCTGTTTTCGAGGTTAAAAAGCCAGCTACATTGGTAAAACCACCACCACCACACAACACAGAACACTGCAGTAACTCTTAGGACAGCAGGAACGCATGCCTAACTTTTCCCATTTGGCAGATAAGAGCAGCTTGCCAGGTATCCAACTGCTTTTCCTCCCTCCCGCAACTCCTGCATTCAGACATGCTCTGCACTGCACTGTGAGAATGACTTCTGCTTAGAACCCCCTATTTCATTAGAGAATTCCAGCTGCTGTGTCCCTTTCCAGAGCTGACAGCATCACGCTGCATGCAGAAGCATGCCACAGCACTCCGAGGAACAATCCTTGCACGGAAAGGAAAGTTTTGGTTTAGAGGCTAAATAAACTACTTCACTTGGGACATGTGGTGGGAGCTGCAGATGGCTACAGCTGAACTGATGTAACTGCTCTGCAGACATCTCATTTTTCCTGCCTCCCTCTGGGTTGAAATATGGGTAATCTGGCTGTAAATGGGATGAGGAGATGTATTATGTGCAGGGCCATGATAAAAGCGGAGGAGCTGCAGGCTCCCACATGCCTATCACAAATTCCTTACAGATACAGCCATCTAGAACTTTTTGTGGACTATTCTGCTTAACATTTTATAGCCTATTTACTCACCTTGTAATCCAAAAGAGAACTCATTTGATCCACTTCAGAATTACTTATCATATCACTTTCTTCATCATCTATAATTTCTATTTTCTGAAAGAGAAGTAAAGGGCTCATTCCAAATATTCAAATGAAGAGGTCAGACAAACAAACAGCAACCTGTATCACAAACAGCATGAAAGGATGAAGGTAACAGGACCTTTTGTTTGCACCTGAGAAACTCTGAATTGTGCAGCCCCCATTAGATGGCAATCATGCACCTCAGCCACAAGATCCAGGGAGAATCCAAACTGCAACTGCCAGTACTCAGAGTGGCTGCCCTGGTGACTCTGGCTGTTTACAAAGGAGGAGCTGTATGTCACCATGCTTTTGGCATTAAGTTGCATATAATATCTCATTACAGCCTGCACAAACATGCACTTTATTCTGTAAGCCTTTTGTTGAAGACCTCCTGCAAGGTGAAGGAGGTTATGGAAGTTTATTCCTCTGGAGCAAAACAGACATTATGGCAAGTGACAGGCAACTCCTAACTGACCTACTTCTTGCCTGAAAAACAAAGGTCTCCTTTGGCCTTCTTTGGCCACAGTGCAAGTCAAATGCCCTAAACAGTAGAGGATTTTGATACAAAGGACAGTTCCAAATGCATACACATGGACATTTTCACTTAACTCACAAAAAATTCTTGGGAGGTTTTTATACTGGGCTTCTGAAGATACCTAAAATATAATGTTAAAGGCCAAGCTTAATGCTTAATGCTGTTTAGAACTTACAAATACATTCCAGTCATACCTCATTTACTTTTACATTGTTTACCACTCGCATGTTCTGTCCCAACAGAAAATGTTCTTGTGCAAGAAAATGATGTAAAAGGTTATGTCAATAGGAGAAAAAACAAAATGTGCACATTTTCAGTGCATCAATGAGATTTTTATTTGTATCTAAGCTAGGTCTCAAACAGAGAGAATGAATTTGAATTACAGAGTGGTAAGAATGGTACTTTTCAACAGAACTCAGAAGGATGACTGCCTGGATGGAACTACAACCTATAACCAAGATATCGATGCTGCCAGGAGAGGCTGTCGCCATAAGGGGGGGCAGTGGAGGCACCCCAGGACAGGGGCACCCCCCCCGGAGCTGCATGGGGGGGGCCTGGGGGGTGAAAAAAGGGGGGGTCAGGAGCACAAAATAGCTACATTGAGCCCCAAAATACACCCTGTATCCCAAAATAGCCCCACTGCACCCCCAAAAATTTATCCATATTTTGGAGAGGGAAGTAGTAGTAGTCTAAGAAGGGTTTGGGTTTTTTAACCATTTGTCATTGTTCTGGCTGTGGTAACTATTTATGAGACTTCATATAATAAGTCAAAGCGATTTTACTGTGCTTTTAGTACACAAGATAATGCAGGCAAGGGTCCACACTGACACATCACACTTCAGTGGTTGGTTCTTCAGGTGTTATTTTAGAGGAGGTTTCTTCCCTGCAGCCCAGGCATCAGAACTTGCCTCTAATCCCCAAGGAGAATCCTCCAAGAAAGGTTAGCATTCTCTCACTAGTAGTACGCACTAAGCTTTCAAGCTTGTGTTAAAGACAGGGAGGGTAAACCACATTTTGTGTGCTTCAGTGTCTGACAACCCAGCTGAAGCGATAACATTTCAAAGGCTTAATGTCACAAAGATCTGCTGCTATATCATACCCTGAGTAACACTGTGACTCAAATATTTTTGTTTTCAGACTCAGCTTGAGGAAAGAGTGTCTAAATAAATGCCAAACATTCACACGATCTTTCTTATAATTATACATTGTAAGATAGTAGGGGAAAGAACAGATTAGAATTTCAAATAAGAAAAGTGTCTCTCTCATGCAAGTCCAATGTATGTTAGTCCAATTTTAGCTGCAGAGATTGAAAAAAATTTGTTAGAGTGTTTTCAGAACAGAGTATGAAGAAGCTTCTCCTATTTCCCCCATTCATTTCCAGTGATAAAATGCTGGAGTTCAGACAACTGGTGAGCTCAGTCTCTCGGACATCATCTTTGCAAACCTTATACTTTGTCATTTTACATTCAGCATCTCCATGGTAAATCCATCAGACTGAAACTCAAGAGTGATTATGTCTAAGGTCATGGCAGGCCATTAAGGTAAACAGAAAGGAAAAAGGCAGCTGTTTCTATTCAGGCAATCACAGAAAATACAGCCATAGCATTCCAGTTTACACAAAAGATGATCATATATTAACAAAAGAAAGGAATTTTTCTCTCCCTATATACAGAGGGAAGGGAATCTCCTGTTCACTTTCCCATTTCAGGTTTGTGTGATTAATGTAACACAAACTTTCTTGTTATGTTCTAAGCTACCATCTTTTAACCTCTGACTGCAAGAAGAGCACAACTGGGAACTGGAACCATCACCTGTTCATTCTGCAGACAACTTTTAAGATAAAAATTACCCTACCACTCAGGGTCTTCTCTCCTCTTCCTCCTCTCCTTTCTTCTAATTTGAGAGAAGGCAGGCTAAACAAAGGGGATATACTGCATTATTTGCCATGACTCCTCCCTCTGTCTTTCCTTCCTTGTCTCACTGCAGTCAATTAAAAACAGCAAGAACAACTGTGTGTGACTTAATGTGAATGCAAGGGAGAAAACAAGGAACATCTAAATAATGCTTTGTCAAGGGTATGGGAATGAAGAGCACCTACCCACCCCAGTCTGACCTTATGTATTCGAGGTTAGCTATGGAGAGAAGCGCTAGCGGTACCCAACTTTCTTAAAGCTACCAACAACCATTGTCCATTATTATTCTGGGGATTTTATTCTTACTGTTTTACTGCACTAGGGATTTAAGCAGCACTACCCAAGCATTGTGCTTCGCATTCCAGAAAAAGAACACCAGGTTGTTATAATACAGAGAAAGCCATGTAATTCCATTTATACTGTACATGCATAGCTCTGTGTTTTAGTACCTTTAGTACAGTTCCTTTTAGTGCTCTACCAGTTAGGACGACTCTTAGTACACTGAACTGAAGCTTTCACCTAGTGAAAAACACTAGTGTTGGACAACAATTTCAATGTTGGCAATTAAGGAGGTCACATAAGTGGGAAAGGAAAGGTGTACATACCACATTATCAGTAGATACGGGATTCTGGTCATCATCTTTGTGACTGATTTCTTCATTCTGAAGAGCTTCATTTGTCTCTTCTGCAGAAATAAATCAGTGTTTTTTCAGATTTCATTCAAATTTCATGCTGAAGGAACAATAACTTGTTCCTTCAATAATTTACCACTAAATAAATGTCACATCTGTCACATTAGATACAGAAGCATCTATCTATTCATAAAAAATACTGTATGTCTTATTAGACAAGACAAAATATCACAAGTATTTCAGGGCAACGTAAGGCCAATTGCTACCTGAAGCAACAGGAAAACTGTTAAGTTACTCTCTTGCAATGCACCAAACTCTTCCTATTTTTAGATTCAGGTTGGAAAACTGAAGTGATGAAGTTTCACATCAGAGGTGCACAGAACTTTTTTTTTTTTCCTTAATTACTACACGAAAATTCCTGCATGCCCTGAAATTATAGGATACACAACAGAATCCCATCTCCTCCTTGCAGACACTTATTAGCCTTGAACCAAAAACTGATCAAAGAGAATATTTGATTCTTATATGGCAAATACTTATTCCTGGTGAACCTACTCTGCTATCTTCTGTATAAGCAAAGAACACACCTGAAAACAGCAAATCTTATCCTTAGATTTCAACCACAAGGACTACATGATTCTATTAGCCCTAACTACGGCCAAAGTGAACAAAGATAAGCCTGTTCATCCCTATGATTATGTTTTTCAGATTTCCTTTCATTCTCCACATTGATATAATGTTAAGAAGAAAATGGGTGATAAAACAGCAAATCAGGAAATAAAACATAGAGGTAAGACAGCTGTGCTAAAGTCTTAAATTATGTCATTAACAGCAAGGCTATTAATTGGAAATAAACTCATTCCAAGTGCTAGTAAAAGTTAGTTCTACGAAGGGCAGAGCTTGTACAAGGAGGGTCAAACTGGCCAGCTATCACATCTAGTGAGGAAAAGAGGCATGGTGAGTGAAGGGGCAGCAAGTGTTCAGATGGGTTACTGAAAGAGGGCAGATTACGATGCAGGGGTGTATGACTTCTGCACAAACACAGGGGTTAACAGGATTTATCTGGAGATTACCGACACTTGCAAAGACAGGAGAGTATTTAGGCCAGACCATTAACACAGACAGTTACTTGTTTTGAAGAAGTTTTCTGCCAGTTAAATATCTCAAAACTGAGCAAATCTCATCTGAAGTTGCTGCAAATAAATTTAATCTGTCACTGGTCACAATTTCAGAGGAAGATTTCTGCTAGCAGCAAAAGCAAATGGGTTCAAATGGGAGAGCTGTAGGCACGGAGCAATATAGAACGCTATCATTCCACTCGGAAGAGTGAAGGTCACTGAAGGTGCCCCTCAGGGTCTCTGACACATTCTAAAGCACCAGCCACTCAATAACCCTGACAGCCACCACTTGGACCCAACAGCTGAATGAAGCAACTCCCTACAGCACTTTCAACTCTTTAAATATTCATCCTCGGCTAATATAAACTGGCATAGCTATAACAGCTTCCACAGAGCCATGCTCATTTACACAAAGTATGGACTCAATTAACATACATTAAAAAAGTAAGGCATTATGAGAACTTTAATGCTGCATTTTGCATCAGAGCATTGCTTCTTGTTTTTATATTTACACACTACATCTTAAAAGCAAGTGCCAGCAACACTTTCACTCTAATTACATGACTAAAAATCTTTTTCCTGTCTTTGAGAGTGTTTTTTTTTTTTTTTTGTGGTTTTGTTTTTCTTTTTCTTTAGTAAATTGGGACCAAAAGTTATAGTTCTTGACCATGAAAACAACCACAGATCTGTGACTCAACAGTGCACATGATTCCCGGTAGAACTATTTTCTGGAAAGTTCAAAATAAGCTGAGCTGCAGCAGTGAAACCTACACCTTTGAACTGGAGAAATGAACAGAAATAGATTTGGTGGCAGAATAAAGGAATGAAAGCGGGATTCCTGCATACTGTGTAAATCCTATAGTTTCCCTGCACTTCCTTAAGCTCTGGCTCTAATAATCTGCTCACAGCCTTACAGCCTTACCTTGTTTTATGAAAGCCTTGTTTGATAAATGGGGTGTTACTCTTCATGTTAAGCTATAGAGAATACAGACTTATCCCCTGTCACCATCTTCTTTCAAGTAGATCTGACTAAATCATTTCCTTCCACACCTCAGGCAAATCAAGGACTCTTAGATTCTGCATCTCACTTGGCTTTCAATCACTTGACCCATTTCTTAATCATCTTATTCTCCTTAGAGCAGAATATGACGAAGCTATCACAAATTCATTCCCAGCAGTTCTCCTGTTTTTCTAGTTCTTTCCTTTAAATTGTTCTGACAAAGTGACAAGATCAAGTCTGGCATATTAAGCTGCAATAGCATGGGCTAGATCAGACCTTCTTTTAGTTTAGAGAGCAAAGGCTTTATTGATCTCTTCTAATCAGAAGCACTGGGAGCAATTAGTTGAGCTTGTGAAGCTAGTGCATGTGCCGAGCGGGAGCTCATCTGCCCTAGGAGGCCCAGAGTGCTTATGTACAAAAGGGAAAGGGACAGATCCATTTAATGTGGTCATGTGGTTCTGGGAGGTGGAGTAAAAGGGAATTAAGTTTGAGACACTTATCACTCAAGATCATGCAATTTACTGAGAACACAGGGAGCCCCCCTATGTGCAGTTCTAAGGTTTTCTGAGCAGTCCCCTGCTACTGACTTTGATCTTTTCTGCTGGTTTGTATTTGCTTGGCAGAGACCATACATGCACGGCAGACAGCTTAATGGTGTCAGTTCTGCTCTGACACACTGTGAAGCTTTTAGTTCAAGAGCAGCTCTGAGCTCGTTTATCTTCCAAATGCCTTTCATCAGTGAGAGTTTAGTATCAGGAAAACTAAGTACATAGCTCTGGTCAGCCCAAAGCAAGCAGGTTTGCAGGCATCAGTGCTTGTTTAGATGAGAATGGCTGATGTGATTCAGGCTCACAGGAATGCATGTTCAAGCTGGCTGTGCAGAACTGGCCCATTACCAGAGAGCATTTTTTAAAACCTGACTTCCTAGGGAAGTGAACTGCATATAGTTACACTCTCTGTCCATCTTTCAGCTGTAGCAGCAAATTGTGAACTTGCCATTTACCTTCACATGAACTTGGCAGAAACAGAGGTCTTATAAAAGGTTTCTGCAAGCTTTGTGATAGCAAACCCAACAGAATTCACATACAGGTAAAGAGACCAAACAGTACCTTCAGTATAGCCAAGGCAGGTAACTTGTGACTGTTAGACACTCAAGACGTTTTTGAATGTGTACAACATAGAATCCAAAGCATGCACACTGCACAACATTAGAAATATATGCACAGTAGTAACTGCATTTTCAAATACCTTGTGAGCTTCCTTCAGATAAGCAGATTGATACTTCATCATTCCTATCATTATCATCCCCCACTTCAGTAGCAGTTTCCTCTCCTGGATTAAGTGCTGATTTAGAAACAAATTCAGATTGATCAGAGAAATCAGCAGGACCTCCTCTAGGGGGTGGGACCTCAATCCCCATTAAACGATATTTCCGTCTTCGATTCCCAATCCAAGTCTTGTAAGAGAAATAAACATGAATGATATCAGAAACTATAACAAAAACAACAGGCCCATATCCAAGTGAAATCAGCACATCTAAACTACAAAACCATAGCCAGCAATTCAAGGGAGGTGCCTATTTGCCCATATCTAACCCTCATGAGGCTACTTCCTGGAATACTGTGCCTAGGTTCAGACCTCCAGTACAAGGGAGAAGGGGAGGTGCACAGCAAAAGGAAAAGAAACAACACAGCAAGGGAAGCTCTGATGGGAATTAAGGAAAAATAAAACACAAGGCTTTACAGTGAGACACTGGAACAGTTCATCCATAGAAAGCCTGGCACCTCCAGCCTTGGAGGTACTCAACATTTTACTGGACAACATGCTGAGAACTGAACTGCTGACTGAACTCTGATGTCAATCCTGCTCTAAATAAAGAGTAGCATTAGTGGCCTTGTAAGGTTTCTCCCCACCTAAATTATTCATTAATTCTAACCTAAGGTTCTCCCACTTTGCAACTTCCATAAGGGGACCAAAGCATCCAATCACCCAAATGGTCCACCCATTCTAGCATTTTCTACAGCACAGAAGAAATCATCCAAGGTGATAGCTCTACACCACTCCACTTTGCTGACAGAACATAACTTCGCAGGATTAAGTTCACAGCAATATTGTTCTTCAGTCCTCTTTGGCTGGAAAACAAGTCTTTCACTGCTTGCAGTAAAGGTATATAAGAGCATACTTATAAATAGTAGTGACAGATGAAACAGGTCCAGGACCAAGGAACCTGGAAACTGATTCATGATGGGATGGGTTTGGAGGCTTTAAGTAAAACTGAGTTTCAAAAAAAGAGAAACTGAAAAAAACCAAACCACTAAACCAAAAGTCACATTCAAAATTCTCCACGTGGATCTGTTTAACCGTTAATGTGACCTCCCTGATAAAGGCAAGCCTAAAATAGAGTCTTTAATAATTTTGAGTTTCACATTATGTAGTAAGAACTGTCTGCAACTCATCACCTCCTAAATCCTTCCCTTGCATTACTCAGGCTTTTGACTTCTCATCTAATTTCAATTCTGCTTAACAGCACTTGCACCCCAGATACTTTGTTCCAAGTCACTTCTCCAATGGCATCCAAAAATCCTTCCCAAAGCCAGGAATCAATTATTTGCCAACTACTAAATTCCAGTCATCCAGACCTGGCTTTCCTCCCCCTTCTACACCATCTCAACCACAAGAACAGTGCTGATGGCACTAGTGGGACCATCCTGATCGCTCCAGGACCTGTCCAAGCACTGTCCTGGCACGGAAAATGGTGGAGTTTGGCCATGTCAGCTGTCACCACACAGAGTGTGTCTGATTACTGTGATGATGATGGATGCACAATGGACAACCACAGCATAGCTGTTCCTAGGTTCTGAATCATGCTTAGTGCTGGAATTTCTGTATTGTTAAAGATCAAATGTACCTCTAGAAAGCATGGGCAGTTCCTGGTTTTGAAAACATAGAATCAGGGCATGGCAAAATGCATATCCCTTCCATAAACTATATGTTCCAACAGAGTTTACCAAACACATTAAAATAGTATAGGATTTTTTTATCTTTAAAGATACACTAAACATTACTCTGGCCTTATTTCAGAAATACCTGCATTGCTCCTCTTCCCCATCACACTTTCTTTAACTAGAGTTCTACTAATACACACCATGGAAAAGTTTAGTAAAAACCTTTTTGCTTATAATATCTTGATTATCAAACAGAAAAATTAAAAAATACCAAATACTAAAGATAGTTTTATGCTGTGCCAGCCTGGGAAAAAAAAGGGTCTTTTTAAGCTGAATCTTCTTCTCTAGCTAAAATATGGCATGTGTAACACTATTTCTGGCAAATCATTTTTGTTGGGTGATCCTGGCTTTCCCAGATTCCTAACCTTCCTCTTTGAAGAATGCAAAACAGGAACACAGAGAGCTACCTAGATATTTTTGTACATTCAATGCAGTTTAGGGAAAAAAAAAAATATAAAACTGACACACAAGTAGCCCCTTCCACGCCTATGTCTCTTTTTCCCAAACAGTGCATTGCTATTCTTTAAATTCTCTCATGATGTTATGATTCTGAGAATAATAACGAGCTAATAAATAGTGCAAACAACTGTAAAACTTAAAAGTGAATCTGCTTCTTTTTTACTTAAAGATTCAGCAAAAAATTGAGGCACTTGGGAAAGGCAGATCTTGTCTTGATGCATACCTTTCAAAGCAGAACTCTCATTCAACATACTGAATATGTCATAGAAGACAAACATATTTTCATAGTATCTCAAATTAAAATGGGAAAGAAAAGCAATAAGGTTCCATACCCTGTATGCTGCATTTAACAGTGAATATTGTGGAGCAGTACAATGATGAGTGTAAAAACAGACTAGCATTTCTATGTAGGAAACCAGCTTAATAATTCTAGCTATACCCCTGAAATACTACCTCCTTTAAAAGGTCAAACATCATCTGTAAATTACATGTGATCGGACTCATTAAGCCTATTTAGGGTAGTCAGCAATGAAATCAGCAGCAACTTCTGCAGCTCCAACTGAACAGATGACCAGCAAGAAGGCAGGAAGAAAGGCTGGAGTCCAGCAGAAGAAGCCAGCATACGGCTGCCCCCAGGCAGCTCATAAGTAAGTGGACTGGCAGGGAGCCACTTCAAAGGCATGATTACAGCTCTCCAGATATTGAGGTTAGGGTGTCAACGTGCTAGAAAGATACTCGGTTGGAGCCTTCAGAAATTCCACTTAACGGGAAAAATAAAGATGGAAGATTCTGAGCTGTTCTTCCAATGTCTCTCTGAACATAAGGTAGATCCAGACTAGGTCTAGAGCCCCCAACAGGAAGAGCCATTAGGCAACTGTGAAGAATGAGCAGCTTTTCTGCTGCAACTACTTGCTTTTGCTGCTGAACTCTGACTGAAGCACTACCTTCCATAATCAATTTTTATCTGATGAGCAGCTGGTGAAGAAGAGGAGGTGTCTTTAGCCTGTGGTGGGTGCTTAGGCATAGCTTTTGACCTCTTATGTATGAAAGCTTGATGTTCTATATATTTCTGAAGAGTTTGATAGCTGTCATCTCTCCTTCTTAAATATCTAATGTCTTGCTGCCAAGAAGGCTATTCTGCTTTCAGATGCTATTTTGGTACGAATGAATAAAATTAGTCAAGAAAAATATAAACAAAAATGAGTAGCTACAAAAAAAAAAAAGGCAAAAGAAAGCACAACCCAAACAAATGTAATCAGCAGTAATTATAATGTATCCAAAAGAAATACATCAAGTTTAATACGCTATTGGCCAGAGTGCACGTATTTAAATATGACATAACTCTTTTTATTTCCCTCTTTTGGTGTCTTGGGAACATACGAAAGACATTTGTATAACCAGTAGACACTTTGAAAGTTCACTCTCCTACTAGAAATACAAAACCCATGGAATAAAATGCCCTGTTGAACCTTGAAAGATCAAATCCAGTGCAACTATGCATAGTGGCAAACATTATCTTTCCTTGTACTGGAAAACAGATTCAATACTTTTTTGTACTGGAGATCTTTCAAACCAGTATGGGTCATAAGGATCATCATTTGCACCTCTGGAATGGTAAGAGTTACCTGGAAAAATCATGAATTTTCATTCTAAAAATATTAAAAGGGACAAATGTGGACATGTATATAACTGAATGAAAACAAGTGATATAAATCTTTCTGTTTATATATGATTATTTATATATTATAGATTTTGTTGTACTCATTATTTATCATATATATATTTAATTAGTTTTATATATATATACACTTTGCACTGCTTTACATATGCTACATTTATTGGTTTTATACCAGAAAAGGAGAAACAGTTGCTAGTTGCACACTACCTAGAATTCAAGGTACAGTTAAATACAAAGGCAACAAGGTACAAGTACTGAAAATAGAGAGCTTATTCCAGAAGCATCCCTCAGTCCAACTCTTCTTGGCTGAGCATGTCATAGGGCAGAGATGCTGCGATTCACTCATGACTTAGAACTGACACACTGCTGTGCCCGGACTCCTTAGGAAAAAAGAGACTGTGCTGCACCCTAACCTCCAGGCATCAGTGGTTCTTACTGAAGACAATGCAGGTTGGCAGGTTAAGGAGACAGGAACAATACAATGTGCCTACACAGATATCAAAACAAAATTAGGGCAGATCCTCTAGAGCATATGATGAAAATACCCATCCTACACCTGGGAATGTGCACAATGTGCCTTGGAGAAAGGTCAGGAGGAAGCACTGAAGATCACACATGCCCTATAGCATTAATTCAGCCCTTACAAACAAAAAAGTTAGTGCAGCATGATGCAACCTCCACCTAATTCTTGCTACAGTTCTCAAGTCTGCCATACAGAGGAGCCAGAGGCAGGAGAGATACTGGTAACACCACTAGTTACTATGAAGAAATCTTTTTGCTCATTCGTGTGTGTGTGTGTGTGTGTGTGTGTGTGTGTGCGCGCGCGTGTGTGTGTGTGTTCTAATACAGTTTTAAGCTAGAGAGTCTTAGGGAGTCGATGAGAGCCTCTGACCTGAAGACTAAAGCATTTCAAGCAGATGCACTGAAAAGTGTCCAGAGAACTTCATAGTGTCATCCTGTGTGTGCCAATAAGGATGTTCTTAAGGGAACAAAGAAAGGGAGATGAAGCATGGGTATCAGTCTTACTGTTCTGTAAATAAGTATTTCTTATGCAGGAGTTCATTTTGAGATGCTGTCAGTGGAAACAGCTTCACCTTTCAGAAAGCAAACTGAAGAGCATGGAAAATACAAAGCAGCTTTGTTCTCTACAGAGAAAAGAGTAATTCTTTTCAGCCTCCAAAAGTACCATTTAACTTTTTATGGTTCACATGTGCTCAGGAAAACAAGCAAGCAAATAACCAGGTTAGTGTTCAGTACTGAAAGCAGCTTTGGTACCACTTTGATATACCAATGCTAAGAGAGATCTCCACAAAAGCAGAGTTTCAAATAAGGGCTCCTGGTTCCGCTTCTGTAACAATGTCAGAATTTTAGGAAAGGTGGAGAAAGAGGATGAAGACTCAAAGGACAGTCACAACTGTCATGCCTGTTAGGAGGGAAAGACTGACTGTAATCGTGATTTTGTACTGACTGCAAAGAGAGTCTGACTGTTTTTTGAAGAATGGAAACACTCTGAGCAAATGAGTCACACACAGATGCATGTCTGGTGAGTGGCATTACAGTGGCAACAACTGATGCTGTACCAAACTTCCCAACCTCTGGAAGAGATGATGTGGAGTGGCTCTCAGGAATCAGGTTACCTACACTTAGCCTGTACTTTCGAAAGCTTCCTCAACAATACCTTTACAGACTATCCAACTGAAGTGACCCTGAATTCCTGGCAGCACCCTTTGCTCTCTATCACATCAACCTGGCATCAAGGCAGTCTTCTAAAATATTTTTAACTATTTTTGAGCATTTTCTTTCACATATTTACTATTGTCTTTTCCCCTATAAGTATTAAGGAGAAATATTTTTCCCTCTCTCTTTAGAAAGGCTTTTCTTTTGTATCTTAACAATATAAATGGCACCTTTTAGTCTTCTAGACTATCCCTAAAAAGTGTAACACTTATACTTCAAATCTTACTCATGTCTGAAGAGAATGCCAAAAGCTCGTAGTGCTACTTCTGCTGCTGATCAATAGGACTCTTACCTGAGGGCTTTCTTCTATATATAGACTGCAGAAAGAGCAAAAGAGCACTTCCCAACATGGTCATACATTATGTAATACGTGAAATCTATTTCAAGCTTCCTCATGAAATTTTTAAAGGCTTTCATCTGTCCTATTTTTGCTTCTGGAAAGATAGGGGAAGACTCTGCATTTCTTACCCGCACTATTTCACAGTCAACATTTAATTCTGCGGCCACAGCTTCAATTTTCTCTCTGCAGACTGAGCCCAGGCTGGTCATGCCATTGTCCCAGTATTTCTTTAGGGTAGCTAAGTCTCGGTCACTAAATTGTGTGCGGTCCTGTAACTGTAAGATAGAAGAAAATACTGTTAGATTAAAATCTGCTCATGCTGTTCACTTCATTTCCAGAGGTCCTGCATGCAGTAAGACACGTGCTCCACTGCCTCCATGGCTTTTTTCCTCTTTTAACGCTCCCTGAAGAATATGGGATTTTTAGCCAGGGCGGTACAAAGTTCCCTGGGATTTGCTTTAAAGGCAGTGGTGGTGCTAATGCAAGTTTAAAGCACTTCAGCTTTGTTTCAACTCCACCTGATTCTTTTAGATTTGTTTTATCTCATTCTATAAGGTCTTCCTGAAAATAACTTTTCTCCCCTTGTGCTGTTTACTCTCTCCACCCAATTTATGCAAATTATTCCTTAAGGCTTTTCAAGTTACTCACCCTCCCCCACCTCAAGTTCTTTTATCTTACTGCAAACTACAGTACATGCATAATTCAAGATTCCCAGATCCTAAAGGGAATACTTTATTTGGTAAGCTTCAGAGTTTAAACTGGTTTCACTGTTTATTTGCGAGATCCCTGACTCTTCGTGTCTATTTATCAAAACTGTGATAGTGGATTACTGATGAAAGGAGTAACACTGGAAAACAAATCCTAAATACCCCACCACTCCCTGACTCCATGAACAGTACATACCAGTAGAACTTACAAGCTTTATCAAAAGCTTTAGCTCACAGTTTTAACTAAAATCTAGTTGCTTTACACCAACCTGTTCGTCCCCTCTCCTGCTATTGTGAGTACATAAATGCAGTGATGAAGTCTGCACTAGTGAGTTGTACCCGCATGTGCCAAATCTGTCATTACTGCAACAGCTGGACTTTGTAAGGAATCCAGTTGGCACAGCTCAAGGCTGCTCAAGTTAAAGCAGTGAAGTGCACCTCAAGAGCACTCTGGTGAGCAAAGCTGAATCCCTGGTGTGCAGTCAGCCTTAGCAGATGCTGGTTTTCCCTGCAGGCCTGACCTGAGCTCCTCCTACCTACAAGCCATTTTCAAAGAACAAAAGCATAGTTATCTCCTCAACTGCTGCAACAAGATCTCTTTTTATAGGTGTTGTCAAAATAGATTGTAACTTCTGAAAGTGATAGGAAGAGCTTGCCCCATCAGGGAGCAGAAGCCAAGTGCTAAGAAGAGGGAAGGCAAAAGGAATGTGATAGCAATGCTCAAACTACAGGGAGAAACAATCGCTCTGGCCTGCCCTGCTTTTCTGAACACTCAGGGCAACTTCACCTTCTGAAGTATACTGAGCATTTTCTAAACATAAATAAGTAATATTTGCTGTCAGTTCTGTAGAGCTCCCACTGACAACACCACTGCAGCAACCCACCGCTCCTCCCTCAGCTTACTGCAATCTCCACTTATCAGGAAAATAAAATAGGAAATTCCTTTGTATTTAATGTGCATGCCTTAAAGAAACCTCCTGGGACATGTCATAGAAATTCCCCTCCCCAGCAGAGGGGTGAAATGAAAGAAGAAAAAGGGAATTTGCGTGGTATTACTGCAGATAAAAGGGCGTAACCCCAGTTAGTGTAGTTGTGTCTCACCTTGTTTGTAATGGGCAAATTAGAACAAAACCCAAGAAAGTACAGCTGATGCTGGAGTAAGCACAGATTTCTGCCTGCTGCGTGACTTTACAGTTATCTAAGAAAATGCTGCTTCTACTGAAAGAATACAGGGCAAGAGCACTCGCTAACAGAAAAGCTTTGTATTTGTGACCTGCAAAACCATCCCTGCTAGACAAAAGACACACAATTGCTGACTGTAGACAGTTACCAAAGGGATGGTACTGCAGGAAGGGCACAGAGGCTGCTCATTTGCTTCTAAATACAAGGACTTTAAGTGGAGGAAGCAGTGTCTAGCAAAACTACCTGGTGTTCAAAAATGTTACTTAAAAAAGGAGTGTCACATCTTTTCCATTTTAGGAGAATGGATGTTAATTCTGATGATCTACTACAAATGTTTTAATAAAAATCTTATTAGATAAATCACTATTCAATGCTTTTCACAAGTGCTATGTAATTTTGCTACAAAACTTGGGTTGTACAGTCAGTCTCAATAGTTTAGATCAAAGTAAATGTTTTAATGTTTTAAACTTACAGGAAGTATGATGTTGCTACTCCCAATGAAGTATTTTGCAGCCACTTACTGTGGCAATGGAAAGGGAAAGAAAACAAAACAAAACTCGAAGTTTTTGTTTTACCTCCTTGACAAAAGTATTTTGCAGGTTTCAGATGACAATATGTATTTTGGGTCGGGTTCTTTTTTTCCTGTTGCAGTTACTGCTGCACTTTATCCTTTCACTTGTTCCTGACAAGCCCATGTAGCAGCACATGAATGATACTGATACTGATCTCAGGTCAGAGAAGGAAATGGAGAACAAGCCTTTTCAGTCAATTCATACAAAAGAAACAAAAATCCTACAACACACAGACCACATGGAAGAGTCCAGAAAGCAGGAACAGAACTGAGGGGAAAAACAAGTGCATGTAAACAGCAGATGATACAAAAAGTCAGGTTCCCCTCAGGGTTGAGGAGAGAAGAATCGCCAAGATGCCTGGCCCAATTCACCCTAATCAACTCTGCATATTCTCCAGTTAGCACTCCTCAATCCCACTTCAATTTTTCTACTTTGGAGTCTGTAGCTCATCTTTGCCTTTTTTTTTCCCCACCAAGATCACACTACTGAATACAGCCAAGCAGGTAGGAACTGAGCCTCTGAGAAGCTGAAAGCACTGTCTTCAGCAAGGTACATTTTGGCAGCTCTAACACTGCCGGTTGGTCTCTGGAAGACAGAATCTGTCAGGTTTCTGGGCCTGAGATTTTACCAGTGCCTCAAAAGAAAGATCTTGACATTTAAGGGTTCCAACTCACAAAACCTGCTGAAAGGGAAGCAGGTCACTGCATATCAAGTGAAACACAGGAGCTGTATGTTTGACTGCTTGTACAGTCACTGTGAGCTGCTTTATGGTACCTCAGAGGGCACAAAGGAGGATGGCTGGTCTACTCTGCTCACTTGCTGCACCAGTATAATGGGATCAGCCTTAACCCTTATGCTCACTGGACGTAAATAACACTTCAGCTTGTCCAAAACTTAGATGCAGACCTTGTGTAACTTACCTTTGTGTAACTTACTGTGCCACATGCCTCTATATGATTTTTTAGGGAAATCACAACCAACCTTCCATTACAGCATCATCCCCTTGACAAAGATTACACCCAAGTTTGAGTTCTGCATTATAAGCTGCTCAAAAATTACATAACACTTTTATAAAAGTCTATTACTTTTGTGAGAAAATAAAAGGTGGAATTTCTACATTGGACATATAATTACACTTCCATGAATTTAACTGATGGCATTCTCATGCTTAGTATCATGAGAGGAACTGAGCAAACAAGAGGGGAAAAAATGCAGTCCTATAGGTGTTGTAACATTCATGGTTATGCATCAGCACAGGAAAAAAACTATCAGAATATTGAGAAGCTTCATATTCAGGACAATATTTTTCAATAGCTGAAGACAAGCCAGTAATTCAGTTCTTATTTTTACTTTATTATAACAGCTATTATGAATGCAATTCTCATTTCCTCTCTTTCAGATCCCCTGCTTGCTGATTCAAGGCTTGTCTTTATCCTCAGCAGTGTTGACTGCTGAATTCTTTACATTTAGCAGTTCTCTTGTCCATAGCCTGAAAAGCAGAGGAGCTTCTTCCCACAGAAAACAGACTATCAGCTCACAATGAAAAGCAATCCTTGTGAGCAAATTGAATCGGCAGTTCTGCCAAGCAGAGGGTTAAACCCTGCTTATCCCCTGACCTCCCAAGTGTAACAACAACATTCTTGTAAGAGATGACCCAGTTTATTACAGACATTCCTGGCATTTTGCCAAGCTGCTCATAATACCCACTGTGTATGCAATGTTTGTGGTGCAAATCTGGTGTCTATAATTGGTATGAATAACTGCACTGCACTGGAGTGTCCTTATCCTGCCATTTATTAGAGCCTGCTTTTTTAGATCAGTTTTCATGCATGAGTTGAAAATGTTTCGGGCCACGTGCACAAAAGCTATACACAATCTTCAGATTATTAATAAAAGACATGCTAAAAAAAAGAACTAGAGCTTCAATAGAAATGCACTAACTATTAGTGCACAAACAGATTTCTAGAGAGAGACTTTTTGCATCTTTTCCCACTGGTTGAGGAAGCTTGAAGTTTGCTCTGATGGAAGCAGAACTGATAAATATTTCACAGTACCACAGCTTGAAAAGAACTGCAACTGCTTCAGCACTCAGCCTAAATTACATATATTCTGTTAATGTTTCTAAACCAAACACAGCTAAGAAAAGGAAAAAAAAAGGAAAACGAAGATATCAGTGCAATGTAACTGTCTAGCCAAATAATTACACTGTAAACTCCAGTCTTCTCACTCCATAATCAACATCCAATCCACATAAACTGGCAACTCACCCTTCTTGAGATTCTGAACCATAATTATAATGATTCTTATTTAATCTATTGATGTCTTCCTTGCATTTAACTAGAAAGTCTGCTTTTCCCATACCTGGCCAGATATGACACGCTTCTAGCCTGCAGGATCACAGCTACAATAAGCCTAGGTGATTTGTGGGAATAGGTGCAGGATATAATAAAAAGATTTATTTCATCTGAAACAAGGCATGCCTACCCTTTGCATCCATTGAAGGACTGTCATTGGGAATAGTGAAGAGGTGCTGCTGGCAGCAAGAAGGTGATGAGATGTTATGCATGTTATTAGCATCTAATGTGAACATTAACAAAATGCAATACCTTGAGATATGTGGTGAAATATTTCACTGAAGGAGGAAAAGTATTAACCAAATCCATTAATCCAAATGACGCAGAAGGCATGCATAAGGACAGCATTCACAATTCAGTCCTGTGGAGATCTTCAGTTTGGCTTGCCTGCCTCTCTTTCTGAGGACTCTGACTATCTTACTCAAACATGTTCTCACCAGTTTGACTAAAATGGAGTTTTCTTCCCTCTGCCCTTCTAGGAAAGGGGAGTAACGTGAACAGGTGAAGAGACCTTCACAAGTTGGTGCAGTTTTAAACCAAGAGGTACAACTAAGGTGCACTTTGACTTTAGGTAGCTTTAATCCCTATGGGTGCTCACTTTAAAGGCTACTCTAAGATATTTTCTCTTTTTGTAGGCTTACTGTGGCAGTTACAGTTTTCATGACACTTTCAGACCACAGACGAATGAGGTACTTTCTCTTGTAGTTACACTGATGTAGTCTCCTCCACACATCCACCTGTGGCAGCTCTTGCCCTGTCCTGGGGTTAGACCAGCTCCTTTGCCTGATTCAGAGTGCTTGACAAGCAGGACTTTCAGAGAAACACTTTATTGCCACTATCTCCAGAATTTTACTCAAATGGGCAATGGTGAAAGAGCAATTTAAAAACCAGAATAAGCATAGGAGCTCTGCACTCATTTCAGCTATTTCCCTCCCTGCAAAATAAACACCAGAGGCCAGACACCCTAAGCTGAAGAGGCAGATCCAGCTAACCTACCTATGGTAGGAGCTCCAGCTAAGCAGTATGTTCAAGAAGGTCTCAAGGCACTGCTACAATGCAGTGTTGCTTCAGGTAGGGGGAAAATACAAAACCTTTCGCTTATCAATTTCTTCACTGATTTCCTATGCCTGCTTCCAAAGGGTGATTGTGCAGAAATAATTGTAAGACCTTAATTTACTATCTTAATGACTCTGTGTTTCAGACTTGATAGTAAGACCACTAGAACTGATCCCAATTAGAAATAAAAAAGGAGAAGTTAAACTATCCCCTCTCCACCCAGAATAAAACTTCCCAACTAAGCCAAGCACTCTAGGTAAGCCATTTTACCTAGTCAACACCTATGACAAACGTTAGCATACCAGGTTATACCTACCATAAACACTAAGTATCTGCTAAGGCAACAGAGACATAACTTAAGCGTAGTTGGTACACTCAAGACCTAACTGAAAAGACAAAAGTGAAGATATTTTCCCCCTTTTAATTATCTTTAACCAGTATCTTCACTGTTATTTTTTACCCTTGCTATCCTTCCACCATCCTGTAAAAACACCCCAAAATCAATGCATTCGTAAAGGCCAGTGCATTGCACATGCTCCACGACAGAATACAGAACTCCATAATTTCAAAAGACATTCTCATGAGTAACAGAGGGTGATATTTCTAGACTAACGTTCATTAACAGTCAGGATTACATCATCTTACAGCGCAGCTGAGCAGACAAGAAAGAGTTTCTGCAGAACTGCACAGTTTTTATTTCTCTCTTGATGCAGTTGAAGGACAGGGCAAGGAAAACAAAACATCAAGGCAAAACATTAAAAATTCAGAGCATCTAAAAGATAATCTTTTCCATTCCAAACAAAATACAGATTGGCTTTTTCACTGTCTGAATGGCAGTAATTGCCATAATCGCATACCCATTCTATTTCTGTTCTCCACACTTTCTTCAAAAGAATTTCACATCTGAAACTGAAGTTTCCTAGGAAGTAGGAGCTTTTTCTCTCTTTTTGCTGTCTTACACCTGTGTGTATACAGCAGTTTTAGAGTGCCAACTCCCAAACTGGTATCCTTGAGTAGACTAATTATGCATTCAAACTGGAGAAAGCGCACCCACAAATCTGGAAACAGATGTTGTCAAAATGGACTCTATTAACCAATGGCGCATATGCATTTTACTGATTAGGAAGACTCGTGAGTAAAGGCCTAAAGAAAAAGGAATTCCTAATAACCAACCCTAATGAGCAGGCACTTCTACAGCCTTGAAGATTTTAAGCTTATTGCAGAAATTTATTCTACAGCTTGTGTCAGATATGTAGCATGATATTTCTAAAGAAGCATGATCAGTAGGTCAAGGGAGGTGAATCTCCCCATCTACTCCACATCGGTGGGACTCCATTTGGAGTACCATGTTCAGCTCTGGGGTACCCAACACAAGCAGGATGTGGAGGTCCTGGAGCAAGTCCAGAGGAGGCCACAGAGATGCTGTGAGGGCTGGAGCAGCTCTGCTCTGAAGCCAGGCTGAGAGAGCTGGGCTGGGTCAGCCTGGAGAAGGCTCCTTAAGGGGAGACCTTAGAGCAGTTCCAGTGCCTAAAGGGGCTACAGGAGACCTGGAGAGGGGCTTTGGACAAGGGCCTGTAGGGACAGACCAAGGGGAATGGCTTGAACCTGCCCAAGGGGAGACTGAGGTGAGCTCTTAGGCAGAAGCTCTTCCCTGTGAGGATGCTGAGGCGCTGGCACAGGGTGCCCAGAGAAGCTGTGGCTGCCCCATCCCTGGCAGTGCCCAAGGCCAGGTTGGACACAGGGGCTTGGCGCAACCTGCTCTAGTGGAAGGTGTCCCTGCCCGTGGCAGGGGATTGGAACTGGATGAGCTTTAAGGTCCCTTCCAACTCAATCCATTCCATGATTTCATGACCACCATGCTTCAACAGCCACTGCTGAGAAACATCATGCCCTGCTCTCTTCACTGCTCCCAGCCACATGCTTCTGCAGCCACAGTAAGTACATTCAACCCACTAAAGACAAACTCAGCGGAAGAATATGAATCTAACAGGTCACATGCCTGACCTGGATTACCTTGCAATTAGATACTAGCACCAGTGCTACAGACGGGGTGGCAATGCGCTAGTGTTGGGGGGAGCGGAACAGAGTTACTTTCCTGACAAAAGCGGTTTCACACCTTGTGCTACAGTTTGGAGTCATTTGTGACTTAAGGACACTGACCCAGCTGATTCTGCCTAATGTGAAATGACATGTATGCGATTAAAGTTAGACTTGGTAAAGTTACTATGGATAGCAGGGACTAATTCTGTGAATGTGCAGAGTAGCCAAAGAGGGAGTTACTCTGTTAAGCATTCAGTTGCCTCGATTAACAACCATTTAACTTTCAAACTAAAACAAAAAAAGCATTCTGAGCTCTAAACTCTCAGTCCTCACCAGTTCAGGTGTTGTATTTCAGCTAACAGCACAACTCATACACCTGGGCATCACATTACTGAGCACAGGCTTATGACCTTGACCTATTTTTAAAGATACATATCAACCTTACCTTAACTGAAACACTGTATACAGGTAATGTTTGTATCAGTCAAAGTGCAAAAGGAACATAAGGTGAACAGAACTGTCAGTTTCAAAAAATGCATTTTAATAAACTTTTCACTCCACTTGATGCATTAGATACTTAAATGGAAATATACTTACTGCTCTTTTCCTGGAACAACCTGTAATCCAAGGCACAGTAAGGTTTCCTGAAATCTATAGAGGGAAGGAGGAAACAGAACAGAAAACAGCAGCTTAGTTGGCTATGACAGCTAACACTGAGCAGCTTTCACAATATTGTGCATTCAATTCTGTTAACAACGCCTGTAAGACAGGTTAAGATCTAAAAGCAAAGTCACACTTAGCCTTACTGCTGTAAGGCTAAAACCAAAACAGTTTCTTTCAGAGAAGGTAAAAGAGCATGAGGGCAACTTCTGTACTTTTGCTATCTCAAAACTTGTATTTCAGAACACAAGTTTTCACTTTGAATCTGTCACAAACCCATAAGATTAAGCAGACTAGACTCAGACAAGGGCCAATGTCTGACAGAACTGCTGACACCCAATTTTCAATTACAACAGTTAAACATGCAGAAAAGACTATAGTACCTGTTTCTAGCTGAGCTGTACAATGTCACATGTTAAGGGTTTGCATACTGGCATTAAAACTAGGGACATCAGGTTGGAGAAGGAAAGGAAGGCGATATGAAGGCAAAGGTTTGCTGCCTTGATTCCCATTGCTTCTCCATCATTCCCAGTGATCAGACTTTAAGTCTGATCTTGGACCGTCTTCCCTGGCCATCTGAAATGTGTCACAGCCTGGAATATTTTAGGCTTCTTTAAGATTCGTGTTCTGCTGCAGACAAGCAATGCTTGAAAGACTAAATATAGCTCTTGAGAGATTAATGAATCTCAAGTCATTACATACACTGTATGTGTGAGGAGTAAGAATCTATGCACTTCTGCTGACTGTATCAAACTACACTAATAGTTTTTGTATTTGCAAAGTGTTCTAATAATGAACCTTCCAGAATGAGCATAACCAAATATAGAATACCTGGTGCAGCCTGTCTGGTGTACAAGCACCCAAGATAGTTTTATTCCTCAAGCTTTTAGCTGGAAGCACTTGGAGTTTACCTAAGGTCAGACAATCTGTCATTTCAGCACAAAGCAGGCTGAGGGGGACTAGAAATGAACACCCTCCACTCCTAAGGGCAAGCCTACGTCAGCTTTTGTGTCTCAAATATTCATTTCTTAGCTGCACGCATACATTTTAGAAACTCTATATAATTACAATTCTGTATCACACCACACTTCACACCACAAAACCTGCTGTAAATGCCTCCTCAGTATCACTCACGTGGCTTTTCCCCAGAAATTTGAAGTGGGGTTACAGGAAAAACCATGCTTTCCTATGTGAATAAAGCAATCAGTCTGCCAGAGCATTAACAGCTAACTTGGAAGACAAACACAAACAAGTTCTGAGAGGTATGATGGCAAACACAACCAAGTTTATTTCAGTATAACTATTTGAAGACAACATGCATCCTCTTGTCTTCAAAAGCCTCTAGGGATATAAACAAATCACTTTGACACATTAAAAAGGAAAAATGGATTCCCATTTCCTTAAATAAAGCAAACTTGCAGCTCATTCATGTAAAGCAGCACCCTTAAAGTGAATCTTAAATATATATGTATTATATACGTATCTATTCTGACCTACTGGCTGCAAGGCTTAGGCTTTTCCCTTGAAAAAGACAGGGCTAAATTAGGTAAGTCTGCTTCAGTGTGTTAACAAAGTAATTAAAAATACACATACTTTCCACAGTATTTTTGTCCCTTAGGGTTGGGGGAAGGAAACCAAGAGTAAATCACGATTCAGCCTTGAGGCCCAGCAAGAATGGCCTCTGTAATTCAACTCGCTTAAAGCCAAACTCAGAAAAGTAGGTTGAACAATTTGTTTACTGAAACTGCTCAGGCATTAAAATTGATCACTTAATTAAATTTAGTCTTAAGTTATACTAACATGGATTAATGGAACCAGTAAGGAAGCTGTAACTAATTGCTAATTAGATACTCCACCAATGTATGACAGTAATTACTTCATCAAAACACAAATCACACAGTTCTGACGTTAAAGAAACATCTGCTTGGATGTTTAACTACTCCAATAATCATGTAGCTCAGGTTTAATCTATTTTTAAATTTAGGAAGATTTCCCTAAGTTGTAAGATTTTAATTCCTATGCTGATGGATAAATCAGCTAAACATGGGCAACAAAATGAACAGGAAGTGACTCTGAACAGGAAGTATCATCCTGCATAAGCCTAAAAGACAGCCCCTCTTACAAAAATCCACCTCTTGAAGCTTAACATATAAATATTATTAAGCTATAAGGACACGAAATTTTCTGCACGAAAAAGGAGTCACACTGGACTTAATTTTAAGAGGAGGACTTGGAGGAGGGGGTTAAACTACTGACGAACTGATGATTTCAATAAAATATGTTAATGGCCTAGCAGGGTAAATGATTTGTTATACAGGACTTTGAAGGCAGTAGGTGAAATTTTCTTGCCAAGGTGATAAATGTGCATTGCAAGTCCCACTGTCATACACTAACACCTCTTGAGATATAGAACTAACTTCTGCATTGCTCTGGAATGTGATAAAAACTCTCAGCAAGGAGCACAGTGACCTGGAGAAATCAGGACCATTGTTTCTTCAAGGTACTATGGCATCAGGCAGGACACAACTCCTTTGCAGCTTCCACAGAGCCATGATACTACATGCCCCCCCTATATATTCTCTAAAAGTGTCATCCTAGAGGTTCACAGCATGCATGTTTACAGCAGCAAGTGAATTAATAGCCACCTGCCCAATTTTTCCAATGTAAGGTCTAAGGTGCATTCCCAAATCCACAGAAGAGTCTCTGAGAGTCAGGCATGAAAGTCAAAGTGGGTATCAGTGAATTCCTCACTTACCAAAAAAACCACAGGTACATTATTATAACAGGAGAGAACCACACCAAACCCAAAATGGAGTCAGAGATCTCCTCATTTTGATCCATTATCACATCACATGGACAGATCAAACAACACCTCTCCTAAACTATGTTTCATGAACTGGCTGTTTAAAAAAAGACTATGTCCCTACCCCCCAAAAAAATAAAAATAAAATCCTAAATCAAAGATATTTCAAATCGCATTAAAACATTCAAAAAAAAAAAAAAAGGGGGAAAAAATAGTAAAAATAAATCTCACGGATGCCTTTTCAAGAGTGATACAAGAGGAAACAGCTGCAGGTATCAGTGACGTATTTCACTTCATAAAACTTCAGATAATTTCCTTAACCCTATTGTATGCAGTTTTGCAGCTTTACCAGCTGTTTACTGAACAGATGTGCACGTTTACAGCTTTTCCTCTATGAAATTGGGATATCAGAAGTAAACAGCATTTAATGCACTTTATGACTCAAGTAAGAACAGTAACAGCAAATACTGACAGACTGGGAGAAGGGAGAAACAGAAAGAACAGCTTGTCTAAAGTGCTCAGCCTAGAAAAGACCATAAATAAGAATTGCCGATGTGCCATCTACTACGCAGACTCTGCTCCAAAGTAAATACGCTCATCGAACCTCAGGTTTTCTGAGAAAAGCAGTGATTCTCGTGAAAAGTGGCACTCACTTGAACTCAAAAGCTTGGTTTTGAAACCTCACATGAGATAGGAACAAGTCAGGAAAAAAAAAAAAAAAGGAAAAAACCAACCAAATTAAAACCACCCCAACAAACAAAAAAAACCCACCCCAGAACCACTTCACAAAGTATTGTCCCCTACACGAGTGAGCAGTGCACAAGGAAAGATGGCATGTTGTTTACATGGTTCACTTTCAGGTAGATTAAAAAGGAAGTAACAGGCAAATGCACAAAGGCAACACACACAGAATCACATGCTGTCAGTCTTCAGACTTTTACCTCAGTGTTTCTAGGCTGTGTCATGTCAGAAGGCATAAAAATCCATGGGGGAAAAAAACCCCAACTAACAAAAAAAATCAATCTGGCTGCTTCCTGCCCAATTATCTTCCCTCTAGTTACTACAAAAATTAAAAATACAAGTGTGCCAGCGTCCTACCTTCTCAACATCTTCTAGTTCTTCACTGACCTGCATTTAACTTTCCCCACTCTGTATCTGACTATCTGACTCTATTACAGGATAAGGAAATAAAGTTTGAATGCAAAACCGACATTTGAATTAGATGCTGTGGGAGAAGAATAGTATTTGTTCACTTAGTGTCTCCCATCATCTCAACTATCTTGCACGAGATCCTAATCCCCAACATAAAACAGGTCCAAGAGATGGGCAACTGCACAGGGGGTATGGGGAGTGCTGATGGAAGAGCTAATCCAAGCTGACATTAATAAGGACAAACAACTGCACAACACACAGATGACAGCATGATCCTGTGTTCTGCCGTGTGCCATGTGCAAAGTATGTCTGCAGAGGAACAACCAAGGGTATCACTATGACATGTGCTGGCAAGCCAAGTCAGGACAACGCACACTTGATCCTGCATCAGCAGCCACAGGCATGATCCTCTTGTAACCAAAGTTTATCTATCAAATCTATGAAACCCACACTGCTCTTCAATACACAGCTATACACTGCAGCTGTGGACTTACAGATACATATAAGAGTGCTACGATACTTCAGTGCTACCTGCACTTCTGTTTATGAAGGGATGATCTCTAACTGAAAGATGTAAAAGGAGCACAGCCTGCAGAAAGGTGAACCTATCACTTACTAGCTAGCAACCTTGGAACAGTACTTATCTACAGATAAGTCTTCAAGGTTTGAAGACAGACAAATTGACAGATTACCTGGTAATTATTTTGGTTTTGTGACAGCCTCAGTTGACTTGAAGTTGTAAAATGAGGAGAAAAGGTACTTCTTGATGGATTAGCACTGCTATATAATGTACTGGATGTTGTATGTAATGAGGTCCGTGCAGGATGGTAGTCTCTGTTATGATACAGAATATTGTCAGGCATGTCCCTGGCATTCACCATCTGTGAACTACAGCTCACATTTCTTCCTGGCCCAGACAAGGCTGCACTTTGGTTCTCTACTCGAACAGAACTGCTGCTTTCACAGTATCTTGAATAGCTTTGTATTTGTGCTCCCATGGATGCTAGCTCCTCTTCCCTAGCATATTCGTCATCCACGTCTCCAGTTTCCATCGCGATGGACAGACAGGTGCCTTCCACTGAGCAATGCTTCTGCGCTGTGCTTCCTCCCACCATTCTTTGAGGTTGATCTGTAACTGCCAGAGAAAACACTTCACGGATTTCCAAGTTTTGCGTGCTACAGGAAGGGTCCCTGGCATTAGCTCTGTGTCCAGGGGGCACATGCGATGTGAGAGCTGCATGGTCTGGCTTTTGTAACCGCTGACATCCCATGGGTTCAGCCTTACAGGGCCTGTGGCATATCATCGGCTTCTGAGGTAACACCAACTCTGCAGTCTGGACTGATGAACCACCATAGCTTTTTTTAGTGTGACTATAGATGGAGTTTGCAGAATTCAGTACACTTGTTTGCCTAGATAAAATAATAGTCTTTTCCCCAACTAATAGGGAAGCATTTTTACAATGTGGTACTTGTCGCCCTATAGGGATGTGCTGCTGCTGAAACTCTGTATCGCCTTTTCCTGGTAGCCGTGGAATAGAGGTTTTATGTATTTCTGCCACTGAAGCATTTGTCTGTTTGGTGGATCCTTGCCTACCAGATGAACTAGCAGGACTATATATACCAGTAACTATTACATCATTATTAGAAGAGGTCCAAGAAGTCTGCTGACTTTGGGATCGACCAATATTCACCACATTTCTAACTGCTGCTTCCGGAGGTACTGAGGGAATAGTAGGGACAGTCCCTGGGGGAGTGCCTCCAGATTCTATAGCAGTCTTGCTGCTCATCTTCCTTCGTTTATTGCCAACCCACGTCTGCAAACAATGACAACAAACACAAAACAAAGCATTAAATAAGCAGAAAAATTAGGCAATTCCATTTTTAAGCAGATCTAATGAAATGTTAAATGTTCAAGTTGAGACCTAAGTTTACAAAAATGTAAATAACTTACTGATTATGCAGCATCTGAACAATACAGGGTGGTGAACAATACATGCCTCTCATGCTTGGGATTCGTATACTAACTCACAAGAACCCCAGTTTCAATTCAAAAGCCCCAGTTACTCAAAAATCCTGTGACTGGTTTTGCCTCCTGTCCCTTAAGATGTATTTCACTCATCCTGCTGTGACTAATTCCCCCAAATTTAAGCTTTTAGTATTTAGCACTTCAGGATGCAGAACCATCACTGAGGTATGTAGCTAACCTTCTGTAATCAAACAACTGAGATACAACCTTCAAAACTACCTTAAACAGAAACTGCCAATTCTTGAATTCAAATGAGAGGAAGCAAAGATACTTTCTGTCAGACAACTACAAAACAATTTTGTGAATATTTAGACCTACAGATTGATTTCCCCTCTGCCAGCTGCACAAATCAAGATCTGATGTCAAAACCTGCTTTTGAAAGACACTGACAGACAAGATTTGGACTACCAGGATTAAATTCTGACACAAGCTTGCTATTATGGACATTTCAGAAAGTGACAATGACAGTTACATGGGTTTGTGTAAAAGACAGCATTGGAAAAAAAATCATTGAGAAGCGCAGGTACTATGGCAGTTGTGCACAGGTTAAAATGTACTGCTGTGTGTTTTAAACACACAGGAACGCCTGTCCTGCAAGTAACACATTAAGACTGAGCAAAAAGAACTCAAGGGAAAATATTAGCTTCAGTATTTCAAGATAAAGAGAGTTAATCTGGTGGAAGCATCAGCTCTAGCTCTGGAAGCATCAGCAGCACTTAACTATCCCTGGCAATTTTCATGATCATAGAGACAAGACCTGCTCAGATTCTTTCCATCTGTCTGTACTGAATGTGAGAGCATCAGGGAGCAGGATACAAGAGCCAAAGAACAAAAAATAAAGCTTCTGCATCTGCTTATGCTCGTTATGAAAAGGATCAGATACGCATACAGAGATATGGTGAGACAGTTTCTGCACCACACTGGCTATCATCCACCGCACACCTGAAGCCAAACCAAAGCAAGACCTCAACATTCAGCAACCAGTTGGTTTAAACAATAAAATCCTTCACCCTATAACAAGGAAACTGCACTGAGCACCTATCTTGGGTTTCCATCTCACTATGTGAAAGGAGGAAAGCTTTCTTCACATACCAATGCATGCTAAGGAAGTTAAACAGATTTTTCTATGGAAAAATACACATCCCTGCCCTACAGAAGTGTGTTGAAGTCTTCATGTCATTCTACCCATTTTTGTTGTAGAATTTTCCAAAGTGCCTAATTTGAGCCATGATTTGCTGCATGCAGGAACATCTCAGTTACTAATGATCAAATTTCTCTTCTCAAAAGCAAGTTTAAATGCAGAAATTTTAAGTCATAGATCTCAAGGTGCTTTTCTTTATTGAATGAAACAAATCTTGAAGGTCAGACTTTGTTGTTGCAATTTCTGCTCAGTCAGTAAATTCTCAAGATAAAAAACTATAGAGACACTGCAATGTTTGGACCAGGAAAGAGATTTCATCCCTAACTTTTCCAGCTGTATAGAACTAAAAGCTAAAGGTTTTCCTCGCACTTTTCCTGAAAAGAAATGCATTCAAAGAAATGCAACTAACTACTGTTCACATGGGATTAAAGTAGTTTCAAGAGACAGCACAAATCAGGTTTGCCATTCGCTGAAGGAGTCCCATTCTCCTGACCATGTCCCCAGCTTCTTCTTCCCACCATCTATCCAAAAGCAGCCACCTGAAGGATCAGGAAACCCCCAAAAGGCATAAAACTTGATTGATACAAAAGAAAACAACAAAAGTTTTGGTGACTTATCAAATTTAGCTGGGTTACTGTGAGTAAATGCAACAGATGATCAGCACAGGATGACAGGAGAGAAAGATTTGCACAGCTGAGAAGGGAGAGAGTATGAAACTTCTCATTTTTAATACTGTGAGACAATCACTGAGAAGAATTAGACTGAAAGGGAAGCTCCATGTTGTTACTAATTTGATGGTATGGTATCACTGTCTGATGTGACAGAGGAGACATTAAGTATAAAATATCCCAAGAAAAGGGACACAAATCTTTGTTTCAATCCAGCCCTCCAACCAGTAAGTTTTGGGAGCATTTTACCCAACACTGGAAGCATTACTGAAATTCTTAACTATCATTTATGAGGAGCTCTCAGAAAAGATGACACATCTGAAGTCCACCTGGTAAGAAAATTACCTGGAATTTCAGAGACCCTGATTTTACATTCCTAGTTTGAATGAGGCAGAGCTGGAAATTCAGACTGTCCCACATTCCAGGTACACACGCCAGAGGGACTGTCAGTGGTGCCTGGCCATTAGTTTTGACCAGAGTCCATTCTAAATCTGAAAATAAAGTGCCCTCAGGAAATCCTTCAAGAGGTGTAAAAGAACAACAAAGCTGTAACCCTTTTGGTATCTCTTGTGGTACTATGGGCAGAAGGTCACATCACCTCCCTCACCACTGCTCCCAGCGCTCCCTAACACTGTGAAAATCAGACCTGGAAAACTTCTGCACTGTATCAAGTCATATTGCTCGCATTTCATGTGAAGACAATAAAGCAACCAGCAGAAGTATGCTAATAGTAATGCACAACATCAGGCCATGCAAACCAGGCACAGCTAGAATAGTTGCCTACTGAATGTGAAGAGAGGCAGGGTTGTGTTTTTTTTTCCCAGGAGTAACTTTACTACATTCTCTAATTTTGAAACTGAGAACATATTTTTAGGTATTGCAGTAATAAAATCCATAGAGGTTTACAATCAAGTCATAAATCATTCTTTTTTCCAACCCAGCTCGAGATTGGAAAGACTGGATGTTGTTCTATTGGACAAAGGCTATAGAAATCCTGATTCAGGGAAAGAATATATTCATAGAGTATTGACATTTGAATGATAGCAGTTACATTTAGGGAATTCATGCTTCCATTATAGTCATATCTGCACATGCCAGCTACAACCCAAGTATCATTTTGCTCGACACTGTGCAGAAGTACTAACTTCTGTCCAAGAGTTTCATAGAGAAAAAGGGGAGAATGAGGAGAGGCAGAAAGGGGGGTGGAAAGAAGAGAAAGGTGAGATCACACAAAAATATGACAAATGAAGGACAAATGCTGGGTTTGTTTCCACTGCACTGTAGGGAGAAAGTTTAAGTACTGCAAGTAAGGGCTCCGTAAGGGAATAAAACTGAAGGAAGAAGGTCATGACACATTTTTGCAGTAAGGGAAAAAGAGAGGGAAATGGAAATAAGAAGATGGAACGCGGATGAGGCCTTCAAACAGAGGAGAGACTGGCTGCCTCTTCTATGTCCTTAATCAGAATAAAATTAGAAAAACAGGCCCTGACTGCATCATCAGCACACAGATTCCTGTTACAACTCTTTGTTTCAGGGAGACTGAATTTCTGGCTGACTTTCAGAACTTCCCACCACCTAGCACTGAGAAAGTAAGTTTTAATATCTCCAGAGTCTTTTGAAGGAGAAGAATCTACACAAGATTTAGGGATCAAGAAGAGTTATTACTGTCAATATACCACTGATATACCGCTTAAAGTAAAAATAGGCTGGTCTTACTCCTTCTTCAGTGTCCAGTGTTGCAGCCACTCCTGGTAGCTCAACTACTGTTATTTTTTCCACTAATGCCTCATGATTTCTATTTCTGCTCTGAGACAACAGTCATTTTGTTGTCTAGTATTTCACAAAGGGATTATTATTTCCCTTCCCATAGACTTTGGAAGAGCTCCCGTTAGCACTAGTGACATTCTTTTATAAGAAAAGAATGCACTCGCTGTAAATAACTATGAGGTACCACAATATTTATGATTGTGACATGGAATACAAGCGTGACAGTGTGTCAAAAGAAATACTTCCACAATTATTCCCCCAAATACATTGGGTTATATAAATCTGTTTAACTTAATAGTGCCCTGATAAAAGGACTTTGACACAATACATCACACAAGGTTTATATGGGGCAATCTAATTCATAATTTAACAAATACTAATACGAAGCCCAAAAAAAACAACCCAAAACACCATCAACAGAAGACAAACCAACCAACCAAACAAAAACCACTCCTTGTGCAGTCCAGGCTCCTGCTAAATACAGCAGTCACGTGAATCACATTTCAGCAAAAATAAACTATAAACAGGCTCACTGGATAAAAATGAACATGTCACACACAAACTGAAGTCTGATTTAAGACAAGCATGAAGTTAGAGATTCCAGTCCTCTGCAGATATTTTATGTAAAGAAATGAATGTGTATAACTTTAACATACAAATTTGAAAGGCCTCAGTACTTACCCTGACTACACTGAAGTCCAGTTTAGTTTCTTGTGCACACTGTAATATGAGCTGAAAGCAATTTTTACTTTGATTTGTCATTCCATTTTCATAATAACGCTGTAATATCCTTTGTTGCTCTACAGTAAATACAGAACGCAGATTCATCTAAAAATAAAAGAAGATACTCTGAAAGTTGGAATAAAAACTGTAATACTTGCAGAATGTACAGGCTGTCGTTTATGCTTGTTGTGATAACGCTAAGTGTTGACATGTTTTCATTACAGAGTCCTTTCCCAACACTTTTACTTACTTTCCAAAAGCCCCCTGTTACAGTCAGCATTAGCAATTCCTTTGTGACAGACTCAAGTTGAATAGATGAACTACATGTTTGGAACAACACTGACAGCCTTTCATAAATAAATAACTATTATGCTGGTTCGCTAAGTCCAAGAGCCTCTAGTTTCAAAGAAAAAGTTTCTTTGTTAAGAAAAAAATAAAGGATAAAGGCATTAGGCAAACAGAGTAACATCAGCAGCTCCAACAATATTGCCAGGTCTGTTTTTCCTCTTCCTATCTCAGACAAAATCTGAGATAAAATAAAGGTGACTGGCACAATTAGAGTTTCTGCCATCTCCAACTTCAGCAAGTTCTACACTCCATTCTGGCTGGTCATGCTACTCCTTCTGCTGTGTTAGCACCAGCACTTCCCAGCTGCAAAGTCACAAAAATCAAGGACCAGAAGACAAACTGGGGGAGAAAAACCCAAAGAGAAGGGCTTTAAGCAGTTCTGGTCCAGCCTACTGCACTACTAATGCTCTAATATTAACACTAAGGAGGGAGCACCCAAATTACAGCCTGAGTTTAGAAAGGTTCACACTACGGTGAAACTGTAACCTGAGGCTATATTTCTTGAGAACATTTAAGTGTCATTTTAAAGGGGTAAAGGGCTACAGCACCTCAGGATGTGTTCCTGCCCCTTTGCTTTGTCTGAAGCAGAGCTGAGTGGTTCAGCATGCTCAACCAGAATGAGGGGACGCACACTCCTCCCAGGCTAACAGCGACTCTCTGGGCTCTGTTTTCAGGCTGCTGAGCCAGCTCAGCCAGCTCAGCACTGGGTCTCCCTATAAGAGAGCATCGCTGTGTGGGGACAAGGCCATGGCAGTCGCAGGTGGCAGCTAGGGATGAGACAGCTTCTTCAGCAGCGGTTTGATGAACATGTTAAAACCGACCCAGTTTTGTTATGCGTGAATATTCATGGCCTACCTTGGATAAGACAAACAGCTGAATATGGCCAAGTACAGGACAGGCTCCCTAGCAGCAAACTGACATTCTGTGCTCTTCTTATATGGTCCATAAAGGCAAAGAATATAATCCTCTGGTTACATGTAAGAAAAGAACCCCATCACCACAGGATTTCCATACCAGGGACTTTATCCCAAGCAGGAGGCTGCCAGCTGAGACACCACTAGCACTTGCCAGGAGCAACCTGGCATATGACCTCGTGTCTCGGAAAGTCACCATCCACAAGTTATTTTTAACACTTTTGGTATATGTATCCAAATAATGCAAAACAAACTAAAGAATAATAAACCTAACCATCACCTTGTAGGAAAATGAACGGGGTGACGGAATCCTTTGTAGCTTCCAAGCTTTTAGTTATCAGTTTTGGAAATTCTGGATGGAAAGCAGGAAAGTAGCATATATTTAATTCTTTGCACAAGAACTCCTCCCGATTTAGAGCAAGTAAAATTATTACGGAGACACACAACTCCTTTCACATTATTAAACAAGGTGATTGTACTACATAATGGGAATTGATACTAGAATTTGACAGGCCTTTAAAGAAAAAGACTACTATCTAGAATTTGGAGTAAAACGTTTGTAGGCCAGAGCTTTGACCTCAGAGTTTACTTTTCTCTGTGTCAAAAGACCATAGAAAAATTACTAAGCTGTAAAAACTACTGTTTTCTTTTCAATAATACTTAAAACAGAAGATGATTTTTCAAGCATATTTTTACCCCTGTTCCCAGTTCTTATTTACCCTCTCATTCTTGTGCATTATTAAATGCAGCACCATCAGCCACATCACAAGCCAGGCTTTGCCCGAGTGATGTGTCCACCAGAATGCATATTCAGCCACAGTCAGAGGTGGGCAAAGGAGGCCCTTGCTCTGAATACTCTGCTGTTCAGATAAATTCGTAGCAAGCAACAGAGGAGATAATTATTAGCCCATTAAGAAATCAATGAAGTTCATCAAAATCTACTTTATAAAGTTAAGAACTGTCTTCAGATCTCCCCTGTGGATACACATGATGATGCAGCCACCAACTGATTTATCGCACTTTTAAAGAACATGCAAGAGTTAATTTTGTGATTCTTTTTCCTCCTGCAGGACTGGCAGGCCCCAGCTTACACTTCTGTGTTTGCTATTCTTTCAGAGGTCCTGTTTTATTCAGTTGAGATCAGTTCTCAAAAACAACCTCACCAGAAATAGTTATGAACCTTGTATCTTTCCATATCCAGATGAAGTCTGTCATCAAATAGTTCCAGCATTTCTATAGACAGGCTCATTAAAAAGCAGCATGCTCTCCAAAGAGTTCATCAACTGCAATGAATACTCCTCCAAACTGCAAGATGGATTTTCCGAATCAGACCTCATGACCTGCAAGTGAAGGTGTGTCAGGTCCTTGACACACTTTTTAATGATATGGATTTCTGTGTCCAAAGTCACTTCTATGTTAAAATACTTTCACTGTTGTATTTGACATCTCTAATTCAGGCAAGGACAGGGTAGAGCATTTTGCCAAAATCTCCTGACCTTCAGAGAACCCTATATGCATTCCATGACAGACTTCACACAGCCAAGCTCAAGAGAGGTCATAGTCTGGTGTAATAAACAACTCACCTTTGCAGTTTATTTTCATCACTTGTAAACTACACCTGCCAACCAAAATACTGGTTAAGTTCCCTTAGTGACTTCTGCCTTGAATGCAGTCAAGTACAGCCCAAAGGGTCTGTGCAGAGGCCATCAGAAACTGATTTAAGCAAATAGACTGCAGGACACTACAAAACACAAGAGTTACCAACCTGCGTTTACACTCCAACATCTAAACTTCCAAATAAGTCAGATTTTAGTAATGCTTGTTGTGTTTTAAATACACTGAATCCTAAGGCAATAGACAGTTCTGTACCATCTCCCTTTGCCCCACATACCCACACATATATTTAGCAAAGCTACAGAAATGACATTAAAGTATTGTTAAATATTATCAGCTACCCTGCTGTGTAAATCAATCTTATTCATTCTGCCCTGCCAGTTAATGCATCCTTTTTTGAAAAGAGAAAAAAACGACCCCACCTTTTATCAGAAGCAACAGAAATTTAGGGATCAATTTCAGAATAAACCAGAGCACACACATTGTGCTCAACAGGGCCATGCAGGCAGCTACATCTGCCTAACAGAAAAGTTGGTTCAAATTCCACTTGAAATATAAAACTCTAACTATGCAAAACATAGGATTCACAGGTCCACTAAAACAAGCCATTCTAATACATCCCATAATACTTCAAATTACACTATGGTTGTTAGGTATAACATGTTAATAAACAAGTACACTTTAAGCTCCAGACAGCGCAGAAGCGATACATAACCTCAACACAGAGCACTAATGGGGAGTAAAGCTCCAACAAAGCTACCCTTCCCTAGGGAAGTATCAGAGTGGGTTTTGCTATCTGGGTTGCAGACACAGCACAACCTCACAGGGCAAGTGCTCTGGTCAGAGCCAGGCAAGTAAAAACAACTTCTCAACAACATCTTCAATTACACAGAACAAGAGAAAGGAAATCCAGAATCAGTGTCTTTTTTAACTGCCCTCATAATAACTTAAAACTAGCCATAAAAGTTCACAAGATTAATATCAGCAGTGCTATCTCCAAGCATTTAATCTCAGTAACATAGAGCAAAACACTAACTGGCATTCTGCTTTCACACTCATGCGTAGGACATCTGGCAGGATTCCTTCTCTCGCAGGTTAAAAGCTCACTGGTAGTATGTCATCTGTAAAGTCCAGATGGAAATCAGTTTGCTATCAGCAGTTCTTAAGTGCTTATTTAGAATCACTAAAACATCACCCTGTGCTGAATAAACCAATTACTGAATGCTTGGAAGCTCCATTAGAAAGCCACAAAGTCCAAAGCCATCGCATTAATCCACAAAGCGCTGCCTCTGCATATCCCATCTTCACAGACAACAAGTTTTGCTCATTACTATTTGCTCAGTACTATTAAAAACAATCTCAGTACCTTCAAAGGAAATAAACTCCTTTTCCCAACTTCTGCACCTGCAAAGCACTCCAGTTTCTTTAGGACTTCTCACCCTTGTTTTGAAGCTCAGACTCCAACTCCGAAAACCACACAGATTTTTATCATAATTTCATTTTTTGCTTGACTTTTCAAGCTTAGAAAATGTATCTGGGCTTTTGGGAAGCCAGGTGTCCAGTTGGCACATTGGCACTAAAAACTTTGATAGAGACAAGAACTCTGTGAAATCAAACAAAATTCAGGCAAAGCATCATGCAAACTGAAATTCCATTAACGCAAGTTGTATTTTCACTTCAATAAAAGATAGAAGGGGCAAAGCAGTGTTTAAGGATTCAGCATCTGCCTGCTCTGCTAACAAAACAAGGTAGCTTTGGCCAAGCATGTTGCTGTCTGTGTGACAGTGCAGAGAACAATCTATGACAAAAGAAAAAGCAGGTTTCCTGTAAGTACTTCCTTCACCCCTGCCATGCCTCCCAAGCCAACTACCATTCAACTTTCCACTTGGGTGGCCTCTCACTACTCAACATTCTGTAAACCTACCAATAGAAAGGTATTGTTCTTCATTCCCTTTCAAAACCCAGTACTTCTGCAGACTTTTTTAGCTGCTTGAGCAACTTTTTTCACAGTACCCACTTCCCTTCTGTGGCAAGGGCCAGTACAAGCAGAAAGGGGAGAACACCCAAGAACTAAAGGGAAGTTTGCTTCTGAAATAGGAATGCATTTGCTTCACGCAACAGGTACTTAATGTAACAAACATCCCACACTGTTTGCTGCCAATGCCTCATCCTTCCACTCCAGTCACTTTATTCAACATCCAAAATGAAGAATCTCTCCAGGAAGATGCGGTGAAGCCCAGAGATGTATTTTCAGAAACTAATGAAAACAAGTCGGTGCCAAGGAGTACCACAGAAGAACTAACAACAAGAAAATAGAAATAATCCTGTACCAATGATCCCCTGATAATTAAACAAATAATTCACCAGTTACATAGCTGTTCTGCAATGGCTACTTGCAAGATCTGCAGGCAAAGAAAGAAAAAGCAGCTTAAGAAGGAAAAGAACTTCTGTTGTCAAGTGTCTGCAACTTAGAGCATGTAGTCTTGTCAAAAAGCCTCTAAATACTAAGATTGATGAACTAAGTAAACTTACAATGTAAGCCTTTATAGAATACATTAACAGTAATTAGTTTGAAAAACAGGGAAACAAGATGAGAGGCATATCATTAAGTTTTTAACAGTAACAGAAACTAGGCTTAGATGTGAAATTAACA